GCTTTTCTGCCCTCAAAATCAAATCCTGTTTTTGTTTTCATTATCTGACCTGAATGTTTCTTCTGCACTTTAAATCCACAGCCTCTCTGCACTTGCAGCCACTCCTCCACAGAGTGCAGACTGGTCCATGATTTACAAGTTTCTAACTCTATGACTGAGGTATGCTGAACTTTGCTGGGGGAACTCCAGCACTTCCAGTGACCTGAGGGTGTGCAGGCCTCAGTTCTGTCTCCCCTTTCTCTGTGAAAAAGGGTTTGTGGATAACACCAGCTTGTGACCTGCCCTCTTGTTGCCTCTTCTGCAGAAGCAGAACCTACCAGCAGATCTGACAGGTAGATGATGATTTAGTGTCAGGAGTTTGCATTTTTTTCATACAAAAGCTGTAGTATTCAGAGTAAGATCTTCCAAAACCTTCTGACTAAGCCATGGCATCAAAATAACTACATGAAGAAATATGAGTGGCAGTCATCTGTTAAACACAAGACTAGCTCCATGATGCCTCTGGGACATTTAAATTGCTATTATGTGAAAATTGCTATTATGTGACTCTTTACAAGCCTCAGCACTCCATTACTCACAGCTTAGTGTGGCAAGGCTTTCAGGACACTGTTTCGCTCTACTGAGATTGTAAGTCCTTTTGTGCCACTTGAAGTAACGAAAAATAACGTGTGTGTGTTGCCTATTGGTACTCCGTATTGCTTAAAGTGTCCTGTGCACTCTGTTTTATTACAGGATTTCAGCAAGCAGTCTGGGTCATAATCTAAATTATTAGTTGGGTAAAACTTGCTTTGGGGTCTTTTGGGGGTTTTTTTGTGATTGTTAGTTTTTTTGGTGTGGTGGTTTTGAGGTTGGATTTGTTGGGTTTTTTTATGTCGTGGACAAACAGCAGAAATACCTGAGGGCATTTGCAAGTGATTACTAGCTGTCTTTTGCTGAAGGAGAGATGAGGGTAGTGAGTCTCTTATAAAAGCTTAAAAATATTAATTGGCCATAACTAAAGTGTTGCCAAATGAAGGGTTGAAGCACATTGTGCTCCCTGTGCTTCTCAACAATTCAATGTTTCCTTTATTAATTTTTTTTTAGCATTGAAAATGTTACAACCACCTGCTTGCTTCTGCACTCCTGCACTTAGGCACAGCATGATCCGACTTTTCCATTTTGAAAATAAGCTTTTTGATAGCATCTCACAGGTGCCTTCCACATGTTATGAAAGGAAACATGGCATTTACACTTCTTTAATTTTAAAACAAACCAAAACAACCACCTTCAACTGCCCCAAACTTTGTACCTACATCTAGAACAGCCTTAACTCTAATTTTGATGTGAAGTATTTGATTTAAAGAAGAAAGTACACGTATTAAATTTTTTTCTTTCACAGCAACCACACGTGTGCTAAACATTTGCACATGGCAGTCAGCCACAGCCTTTGCTGGGTATTTTGGCAGCACAGTGAGCTTTGGTCTGTACGTGGGGCACAGTTTGAGCTGATGTTTAGCCCAAGCTGTTTTTTCCAGAGCCCCTCTGGCCACAGCACAAGGCTGTGAGGACTGGCTGAGGACCAGCTAAAGCAGAGAACCCAGTGCTCCCACGAGCCCTGGCTCTTGGCCAAGGCTAATGGGCAACTTCCAAATGTGACTGTCTTAACAACGTTCCCATAGCTGAATTTCAGTGTGAGTTTTGTATTATTTGTTCCTGTTTTATTCTGTTTATAATACTCTTGCCCTCATGGTCCTGGCTTTCTTATTGCAGTGGAAAGGTAAACTTTAACTGTTTTAAGCTTCTGTCTGCTTATTATTTTGATTTCAGCATGTGTACATGTTGTTGAAATTATGTGTACAATTTATAAGAGATTTTTTATTTAAAAATAATTGCATTCCAGAGCAAAATTACAGAACAAAATGTGTTCAGATTGCATATTTGATTGCAGCTTTAGTTTTTCAGATTTCTAAGTTCAGAGTAGTTGTTGGCAGCAGTATTCATAGTAATATTCTGTATTGGAAGCATACACACAGAAAAAACTAAAAGTTGTACACTGGTAGTAGTGCCAGAATTTCCACAGGTATTGCAGTATTATCAGGGCTGCTAAAAAAAGTCAGCTAAGGATTCAAAAATGCCTTTTGAAGGCTATTTTTAGGCATTATTGCTGAAGTTATAACTTGTTACCTCCATATTATCATTTAGTCTCTCTAAAGATTAAAACACATTTTCAACAGAAGCTATTTGGAAAATGATTGTAAACTTTTATTAGTACAACTAGAAAGAAGCACATTGGCGTGACTGAGTGGCATTGCTTCCATTTGGAGATACAGCTCCAGAAGAAAGCAAAAGTAGAAGCAAAACCAACAAATGCTACTTTACAATGAGGCTACACACCTGTGAGACAAAACGTGTAATTGTGATCATAGCCATTGTGTCAGCACTCAGGAAAAGGCTTGATACAGTGGCAGGAAGAGCATGTTTGCCTATTTCACGTGCACACATAAAAACCCCAGTATAAAAATACATCTATAAAATTACAAATTTTCTCTTTACATGGAATGCTGTGTCAAACAGAGTTGTGGGAAAGGATAAGACCCGAGTGCTCCCTCCTAAAGCCATCTGGGATGGGGTTCAGCCTGGAATTTCTTCAGACTGATTCCATATAGGACAGGGTTCGACCTTATGTTTAAGCAGGACTCTCCCTCATTTCCTGGGAGAGACTGCTTGGAAACTAGTGGTAGGCCAAATCCAGGTAATTGAAAGTGTGTAGTTAAATGTTATCATTTGGTAATGCTAATATCTACATGTATGATTTTCTGTACTCTGGTGCTTTACAAAATTCAAAGCTGCTAACCACTGACCATATCAGGTTGAGAGAAGCCAGGCTGGGTTGCTTATTCTGCAGGACAACCTCTTTGGAAAACAGATCTGGCCAGAACCTGTCTGACACCAGCCCACTGGCTCTTAACAACCACTGGGCCACCTTCTCCTCAGGGAACTCTTGAACCAGCTCCAGGAATCAGAGCTTTTCTGCCCTACAGCCACAGAGATCCCAGTCCCAAAGGAAAGCTGAAGTGAGGACTGAGAGGTCCAGCCTCCATATCCTTGAGGCAAGGACATGAATAACCTGCTTAATCTGTAATCTACTTGCACTAGATAAACATGGTCACAGCTGTTTTCTCTAATTTATAGCTGGGGCAAGAATATTTAAGTTTTCTATCCTTAAGATACTAAAAGTAAAAAAAACCCAACAATCAAACCTAGCAAAGAGTTTTCTTTCTGAGCATGAAACACTGATTCAATAATCACTTAAACAGTTTTGGAATCCATAACATAAATATTGAGTATTTATTAATATTAATGTCTATAGTGCAGTCTCATGTAACTAATGTTCTAATGTTAGCAATGTTTAAGGAAAAGATATGGAGATAAGAGATAAACCTTCCTGAAAGCAGTAGATCTATGGAGATGAGTTGCAACAAGATTCATAGTACCTGAAATGTCCATGTGTTAGGTCTTTATATGCATGTTTCCACATGCAGCAGTCATGCTATTGACAGGGCCTGGGCCGTGCTGTCATGGGGCCATGCCAGAGGTAGCAGAGAGTATTATTATGTGCCTTAGGCTGGATTCACAGGGGACTAGGCACAGCACTGAAAACACAAACTTTAAATGCACTGTTCCCCAGTGGAATTTGTCCTGTAATCCTCAGATTCCTGACTTGTCCTGTTCTGGCCTCCTAAAAGCTGATAGCTGTGTAGGACATCATCTACAGCAATTGATAGGAGACACTTTCCCTCTATCACCATAAAAAGGTGCCAAGCTCCATCATAATCTTTTCCAACCAGATGCTCTTGGAGTTAGGGCTTAGTGTCTTACTACTTCACAAAGCACTCCACATCTGGCTGCAAAGCACTTGAGCTGGGCTGCTCAAGCCTTTGCTGGTGAAGCTGTTGTACTTTGCTTTTGGTATTTCTAATACTCATTTGAACAGAAACTGGAATCCCAAGCCTTCTATCACTCATTTTCTTTCTGCTTTTTTCTTTTTCTCAAATGTTTTATCTTGCTAGTCAAAATTAAACTTTAAATGCAAGGTACAAAAAGAGACATATAAAAATTAACCAGTTCCCCAATATTTGGGATGGTGGCCACTCTGCATCTTTTGCATTTTAAATTTGTATTTTTCAGCTCTCACAAGATGCTCAAAGTAGCTGACTCTAGGACAGGAAACCATTGCAGTGGTATTGCCAACCCTCTTATATTTTTAGAGGGCTGGAGATGGTCAGTACATGCTATGTATGCTGAACACATTATACAAGGTGGGGAGGAGAGCCAGTGAGGCACAGGTCTGATAAACACACTGATCAGTGTAGTGCTGCTGAGACATGGGTGTTTCCTGGACACATTAGGACATTGAAAGCTTCAGAAGATTAAGTACTAGAGGCTGTCCAAAGAGTCTGAACAATAAAGTTTGGTCTCCAGTGCCTCCACTGGTAGTTATGGGTCTGTTGGCCTACTGGTTCCTCCATCACCCCAGAGACACGCCCAGTCTGGCTCTGGGAACAGAAGCTGTGGAATCAGGACAGTACAGGGTTATGCCCATGCAAATAAACCACCCTGAGGGACAAAATGCACTAGCTCAGGCACGCCAGGAGCATAAGGCTACACCCCCTTGGAGACCTGCATGTGTGCTTTGATGTGTCCTGTGCCACATGGATGTACAAACCCACCAGTGTCTTCCACACCCTCTAGCATGTGGTATGGCCCTGTCAACAGCTGTCCTTGTGAGTATAATGCACCAAGTTCCTTCCTTATCACAAGAACTTAGTGAAAATGCATGTGCTACTAATTGAATAGTATTAAAATAGGTTATTTGAAAAAGATTTTTTCTAGTCTGTGCTACTGCTTAGTTTTAATAGCTAAAAGGCAGAAAGTGGTTGATTCTTTTCTTTTAAGCTTTTTGCAGTGTTTAGAATAGCACCACAACACAGTTAAAAGAAAAGTCAAAAGGACTATTAATTCTACCACAAAGTATAGTCATGAGCAAAGGATCTACCGGTAACATTCACTGCATATTCCATAGCTCCACAACAAGAATAGACAGAGCTTGCAACTCCTTTTCACAGAGTTTCTGGACTGCAAAACCTTCAGTGTTGAAGGTCTGATTCCTTTTTTCTTTTATCTGTCAGCACAATTCTTACCATCTGGAGTTAGTTTAGCAGAAAGGTGTGGATGTATATTTGTCTTTCAATCCACTCAATAAAATGTGACACGTTACTGTAAACTCCAGGTCCCAAAACCTTGGAAAAGCAGACAGAGCCCCAAGATGTTAAACCAAACAAAGTCCAGCGCCCAGCAGTATGCTCACACACAAGTGGTCCTCCACTGTCACCCTGCAACAGGAGAGTTGAAAACAGGCTATTATACACATGGCCAACACTCATCACTAAAGCTATATTACATTTCCCACAGCCATTTGCCTTTAGCAAATAATTCAGCTGTAAAAACCTGCTGCTTTGCTGAACTGTGTAGCCACACACAGCATTACTAGTATTTATTACCCATTACATTTGTACAAAACATAACCTGCAAAAGGCTCATACAAGTGAAGAATTTAATACAGATAAACCCTAGAGTCCTCAAGCAGCTTTTCATTATGAAGATAAGTTGTTTACACCAATAGTAACAATAATAGTAATAACAGAAGTTGGGTTAAAGTACATAAATAGACAGCTGTCATTCCTAGAATAGATAAAGTATGCTACACCTAATTAACATCTCAGTATTTTGATTTCTAAAAGCAATTTTGTTTCTGGAAACTTTCTCCTTACAGAGAAGCCTACCATGCAAGAGTCCACAGTGCCAGATTCGTAGCCTGCACACAGCATCCTGCTGGTGATGATTTTCATGTCAAAATATGACTGGCATTGTTCTAAGGAAATTATGCGAACCTCTCCTTCTTGAAGCTTGAAAGGCACTGAAAAACAGAATTAGGTGTTTACACAAATTCACAAATACTTACCTATTATGTCTCTATGAGGTACGACAAACATTTCCATTGGGATACATTATAAATATTGCTCTCTATATATGTATTAAATGTAAGGAGCACTATGTGTTGCATTCTGGAGAAGGACTAAGCACACAGGGACTGGTGTGACATTTGCTGTTTATTGATTTATTAGCGCATTGACGTGCTGCAGTTTGTGACTTTTAAGATGGGGGCAGTGGTGGGTTGGAAATAGTAATGTGAGAGAGATAGACAATAGGTTTGATTCACTGTCCCAGGGCAGGATCTCCCTGTTTCTTGGTGTCTGTCATGGTAAAACCTGGTAATAATCACAGCCATTTTGGTTATGTTAGGGTAAATCTGACTTACAGAATGTACCAGGAAATCAGGATTTGAACCTAATGAAATTATTGTAATATTTTCAAGGGACAAAAGAAGACTTCTTCCTAGTCCAAGCAACTGAATGGGCTCAAATTCTAATCAAAGTTTTTCAACCTAGGCTATGTAGTACTATGCAGTACTAAATGCGATGTAGCCACAGTGGGTTTTGATGCTTCCTAAAACCTTTAAAATCAACTCTGACCACATTAGAGAACAAAAACAAAACATTTACCAGTCTGCAAAAATATTCTGTTGGAGTTTTTTCCCTGACATCATATAGAGATATTTTAGATGGGTAGAGATCCTAGTAAACAGCTTACCATTCACATATCCAATTTAATTTTTACCACATTTAAACTGGCCACTACAACTGAAGTTCCACTGAAGCAATATGGAAAGGGAGATTTCCTCACCCAGCGTACGGAAAAGCCATAATAGCAAAGAAAGAAAGACAATGGCTAGTGCAGTAAAAGTGTTGGGGCCAGGCTAGTTTGCATACTATTCATGCAGAATCATTTTGCCTGAACAAAGATTTACATAACACAACAGTTCTTCTCAAGGACCGTGGCAGCCCCAAAATAAGAAAACACACTAAACGTTCTGATCAGAGGTACAAAAACACCTCTTGTGACTGTGGAATAAATTGTCTGACAAGTACAAAATGATTCATGACCCAGTTCCTCCAGCCTGTATGCCAGTGCCTCCAGCTTTCTCTGAGCTAAGAGTGTTCCCCCCACACTGATGAGCTGGTACCTTTGCAATGCCATTCTGAATGCAACTTAGATGCGTAAAATCATAACTAATGCGGGGGCCTTTCTTGATAGAAGTTTCCAGATCCTCAATATTTTAAAAAACTCAAGTCAGTGTCTAAGTAGTATTAAGGAGCATAAATTCAGGCTGCCGCTTGAAAAAGCTAGGCTATAGTCAGCTTGATCCCTTCAGGAGTAGTTATACTTCCCTAGTATTTACTAAGATCCTGTAATAATATAAATGGATAAAAGTTAGTAACAGTATCACTTTTTTGATTAACTCAGTAGAAGCTTCACATTTTTCAAAAGTCACAGAAATACTCTTAATCTTACTTTTGTTGCCCATGTGTCCCCAGCCTGTGATGTAGCAGTAGGTGTCTGGCTGAACCAATTGGCTCTTGCTGGGCAAGCAGACAGGTCTTACATAGCTTGTCTCGTTGATGTCCTCATCTAGTTCCACAATGCTGATATCATAGTCTACAACTGCTCTGTTGTAGCGTGGATGGAGGATGATGGTCCTCACTAGTCGGGTCTGCATGAAACTTGATGGATGATCAAGATTGCTAATCCCAAATACTACTTTCCAGACAGCTGCATTTTCTCTCCTTTGTAAAAAAAAAAAAAAAAAAAAAAAAAAAAAAAAAAAAAAAAAAAAAAAAAAAAAAAAAAAAAAAAAAAAAAAAAAAAAAAAGAGAGTCACTATCTTTCTTTTAAGCCAAAATACCCAAGATATTTTTCTCCCTTTATGCACACTGCACTTTGCAAAGCATACAAATACTACAAGAACAAAGTGGATATTTGTGTATTATTCCTTACAGTAAAGATCTGAGCAACAGAAGTCAATGCTTTCCATTTCCCTCCTCCTTGTAATCAAATACATTAAAGTTGACTCCATCAGAAGATACATAACCATGTATTAGTTGCTGAATTAAAGGCTGTCAAAGTCATCCCTCAAACAAACTTAGTTAGTTGCTTGCATGCTCAGTGGTGGGCACATACAAATTTTGCTAGGGTGAGAACATTATTCAGCAGTCTGCTGCTGACAGCATTTAAGTCTCACTGAAAACCCTAAGCAATTTTATTATGTAAATTAAATATTTTATGATAGCCATGGGAAAAATCCCTTATTTATTCAGCATTCAGTCTGTGCCAAGTATACTTTCTATGGCTAAGATCAAAGGTTATTTTGACTCATAAATTTTTTTTAGACTCTTTTGGTAAACATACAAGACTACAAAGCAATGAATGTATGTATGGTATGGGGGGAACACTGAACTATTGTCTATTGAGACACATCAGAAAAGCCTAGATTTTATGAAAGGCTTCAAGGCTGTAATCTGTCAATCCTAACTGGTCCCAGGATTAGTTGCAGGTTCTTTGTGGTTTCTAATTCATCTGTGATGTTAAAAGCTCTCCAAAAAGTCACCATTTTTCACAACTGCTGAAAGACAACTCCGTGTAACTAAGCACCTTTGACAGGACTGAAGCTTGTTCAAAGCAGTGTTAAGTAAAAGCATGCAAAATTTCAGCTTTTTCATAGAGCTCAGCGGGATTTTAATTCCTGTAATTTGTAAAGAGATTAAGTCGCTAAATCAAGACTATGTTTATCTTAAGATAAATTCTTAAATTGATAAAAATTCTGGAATTTCAGACTGTAATGATAATTTTTGCATCATGATCAATTCATTAACTGCTCCATAAAGTTACAGAAATGAAGTGCTAAGATTATTTTTATACTATTGTGCTTATGAACATTGTAAAATAGCATTGCCTAGAGAAGTAAGTAGTCAACCAGACTGCATTGCCCTACACATAAAAAAAATATTTAATGTTTCAGGTGCTTTAATGTAATGTATTTCAAAATGATCTTGACAAAACTCTGGGGACTATAAGAAATATAATAAGAAAACTCACAAACAACACAATGTTAATGCAGTTCTGTCTATTTATGCCCTCTACAAGTATTCATGGCTATTTGTATTGTTTATATATGGTCCTTATGTTTTGTATTCCAAACTTCACATGAGTTTTACAAAATGGAGCATTTTGTATAAAGGACTAGAGCACTTTAAAATAACTTGTTGTCTTACCTGATTGGTTTGGGAAATTTAAAAAAATAATTTATGTAAAAAAAAATTGTGACATCAAGAATGGTCTTGCTGATATATATTGAGCTTACAAAAAAAAGTTCTTACAAAAGAAGAATTTCAAGAGTTCAGGCTTCTGGGTACATCCCCTCAAACTATACAGAAAGGAATTTTATCCAGGAAATTCGATAGCAGTCCAGTATTGCTGAAGAATCAACCTCTGTCCCACACTTTATTTTAGAACACCAGAAAGTGTTCTTCCAAAGGATAGGAAATATTCCAGCAGTATATTTAAAAATAGATGGAGAAAGAAGAGAAATTCCTTCTGGATCCAAAATCTGATAAAATACTCTTGTTTGTATTATACAGGTTTATCAAACTGTTAATTTAGAAGGACAAGCACCAAAGAACTCAGTTGTTCAGAAATAAAAAGACAAAATGCAAATTTTTACTGAAAAAGGGAATATGATATGAAGAAGTGTAAGTTCAAGAGTCTTGCTTAACATAGAATTTCTGCTGGCTTAAACACAAAGAAAGTGTTTAGTGCAGTTTAAAATAATTTCCAGTGAGCAAGCACCAGTTTAAAGCACAATTAAGCAACCATATGCTAGAGAAGTACTTGTAACTACAGCAGAAAACATTTCTTTAAATTTCCTTTAGAAACCAAATTACAAAACCTTCATACAAAACAAAAAAATCAGGTAATAAAGCTCACTCTGCAATATGATTCATTAAAAAGAAATATTGGTTAGCACCAAAAAGCTGGCAGTAACCAAAACAGTTGCATATAAACATCCTCTGCACTCCAGATTGTCCTCCACCATGGCCTCTGATACCAGGAGGCACTCAGTTGTTAAAATTGGCTTGTTGATGACTGCAATCTTAATATAAGAGTGCACTGTGTAAAAATAAAAGGCAATGACTTCAATATGTCATTTGCACTGTGAGTGAATACTCAAAGTGTATCGAGTTGTTCTTGTGTATCGAGTTGTTCTTTTTACCAGTGACCACAGCGTTTTTTCGGAGTTTTTTCTATGCTTGTACAGAGGATGATTTTTAAACCCATGGCAGTTGTATGACTGCTATAGAATTAGTGCTTTGGTCTTCTTCCTTTTCCTGTTTCCTGTTGAAAGGGCATCTTCATTTAGCTTTCATCAGCAGAGATGCCAGCAATGAATAATAAAACAGATGAAAACCTACACCGATGTTGGTTTGGACCTTTTTACCTTATTTTGTAGTCTCCTAAAACCAGGTCTCTGTGACTGGCCGTTGTGCAAAGGTCTCCACCTACGCCCCGTGTGTTTGGCAGAGGGTGAAGGAGTTGGTAACTCATGCAATACGGGAGCAGTAAAACGTCTGAGCGCGCTCACCCTTCGAAGCAGTGTGCCACGGTCAGGACCCATCTCCTCGCGATGAGAACGCAGCCGCAGACGTGCCCGCTGGGCTCGCTCTGCAGGGAGCACTGCCAGGGCCAGCGGCCCGGCCGGCTGGTCCTGCCGCCCAGGATCCTCTTGCTCATGCGGGCGGCGGGCCGGCGGCCGCAGTCTGCGGAACAGCCGCGCGTTAGTGGGACAGCACCGCGCTGCAGGACGGCTGGGCACGCAGCCTGGCACACTCCTGAAACCGCCTCACCTACTGCACTGTTGGCCCAGCCACCAGCCAAGGCAACGCGTCAAACCAACGCGTGTGATACGCTGCAGTGTCAAACGCTGAGCCACTTTTTGCATCCCTTTTTAGCAAAGGATTTGCTCTCCAGTTATTGATTTTGCCTGGATTAGCCTGAAATATTAACCAAGGCAAGTTTGGAATCTTGACTTCCTTTCACTCAGGAAGTTTCCTGATGCTTTTCTTTTTTTTTTTTTTTTTCCTTCTAGCTAGCAGCATGTGTGGCCTACTTTGTATTGTCCAGAAGAATTGCTTCTGGAAAATCTGCTCAGCTAGTAACAAAGTTTTTCTTAAATCAGGTGTGCAGTTAATGTCATGCTGTTTTACTCAGCTACACAGCAAAAAACGCACTTTGCCTTCAGAAATTACCAAGGGAGAATATTTGAAGATATGAAGATATTCTAGTACTTTGTCCATTACACTTTACAAGCCACTTCCACCAGAAATTACACCACATTGCCACCTGCCAGTTACTATTCTAAAATAATCCTTCACTTTTGTTTCACTTTCTTTTCTGGATTTGAAATATGCCAGGCTTGTTATTTATTCTGTTTATACTCAGTCTAATCTAGAGAACAAAAGAAGACCACCAGTTTCTGCAAGTAAGTGTCCCAAGGGAGGATATGCTGCCATTGCATGTATCTGGGAATTTAGTGCTGAAGAAATAAAGTAGAGCAATGGTTATTTGGTACCTTGTAATTCTTACTCTGTTCATTTAACTTCATAGAGTAAGCAATATATGTCAGAACAAAACACCTTCAACGAGCTTTTTGAAAGCTCCTTTGAGCTTTTGCCTTTCTCTGACAAGTAGCAAATGTTTTGATTAGTTTCCCAAATTTAGCTCCTGTCTTGTAATTCCTTTTCCCTGACTCAAGCTACTTCATAGTTCAAGTGTTCTTCAGCAAAGCTCTTCTTGTCTGTAGAATATGCTTTCATCAGAGATTAAGAATTTCTGCATTTTCAAACCACTTAAAACTGCACAACCTGCTGTGCCAACAGACTTGGTCCATTGCTTTCTACTTCTGGCTCTTCTGTCCTCTTGAACTTACCAAACAGATCACAGCTTCAATTCCTAGGCAGATAGTCTGCTAACCACTCTGCTGGTTAGGGATATTTTCAGCAGGAAATTTTATCCAATTACTTTTTGAAACCTACTGCTGACAGAATTCTTTTTGTGGTATCAGGAATGGACTACCTTAACAAACAACATCCTAGTCAAAATATAAGAAAAGCTGATGAAACTGAGTAAAGTAGGGAAAAATAAACCCAGTGCAAAATTAGATGTTGCAGAGGTCTAGTAAAAATTTCAGAATGAATCCTGAGTAAACATCTGCATTTTTTAAAGTTATTTAACACATTTTGAAAGTATTTATTTTATAAGCACTTCTCTCTTACCTTCTTTGGTGCAAAAGAGAGCCACTTTGCTTCTGCTTTGACACGTCTGTCTAAATATTGAAACAAAACATGGTGGAAATCTCATTAATTGATTCATTTTGGTAATTTGAAAATCAACACAGGTATTGTATTCATTGCTGTCATCCAGCTGTTAAAAATTCTCTCAAACTGTTAAAAGACACTCAAGGAGTTTCTTATGCCAGATCATCCATAGCTTCCAGCATCTGTCTGAAGATAATTCAAAATATTAGTTCAGCTTTACAATATATTTCATGATTTGTTGTCATATATTTTGTAGAGTACTTTGCTCCTGGGGTGTGGATCCAGCTCTGAGGTCAGTTGGGATGCACAGCCTGTCAAGTTCTTATTTACATCACCTGAAAGCACAGATTTCCAATCTCCTCTTCCTTACACTCAAAGGACAGGATTTTTTTTGAAATGCCTTTGCTAACAGACAATCTTTCATGCCCTAAGAGTTTGACTACTTTAAATGAATCCAGAAAGTCTGCATAAGTAGGTATTATACTTTCTTTTGAAAATCTTCAGGTAAGAGAGGGAAGAATTTATTTTTTTGTCAAGGGAGGAGAAATCACAATTGAATCGGCAAGCACTGTTGCACAAGTAGCTGACTGCCTTTTTATTTCCCCAGGTTTTTAATTCCTACTGTGTACATGCTTTTCTGAGGCAGGTGCAGAGCTGAATACACAGGTCATTTCTTTGCCAGGTAATTATTTGCAGACTTTAATCCCAGCAGGTTGGTACTATCTTTAAAACTGCAGCCACCTAAAAAGAGGCTGCATTTCATGTTAAATCATAGATACTAATGTGGGCAAAACAACAGTGTCAGCCAACCCACCAGATTACCTTGAATCTGGAATTTAACCAAACCTTTGTCCCTTACATTGCATATACCATTCATACACTGTAAAAATCAGTCTATTTCTCTTCCTGAAAACTCAGTCCACAAAATTATTTTTCTAGAGTAGAGATAGACAACCAATTTCAGGAAATTAGATTTTGTGCACAATTTTGAAAGACAAAGAATACACACGGAATATAACTGAGACCAGCCATGCTCGTGCTTTACATTTGTTTCTTTGACTTACCATATAGCCAGCTCTAAAGAGAAAACTTTTAAGCTTTGTGTGCACTGTCTGTATTGTGCTGTTCCCTCCTATTAAAACTGTATGATTTAGTGGTGTATTTGTTAGTTCTTGGCCAGAAGCACAAATGTTGTACATGCTGCAGCTGACCCAGATGAATACACACAGACGGCAGGGCTCAGGAGCACTTCCCAGTCATCTGGACTGGATGCCTGATTCAGTCAAAATGAAAAGAGCCTCACCCTTCATGCACCCTTCCTCCTCAGCTTCTCACTTCTTGTTATCCAGTTTCTGAATTCAGGGGGATTGGAAGATCTGCTTCTTACATGTATCTTTCATTTATGTTATAGATTTAACAATAATCCTCATTACTGATGCTTTCCCTCCTTTAACCTGCACTTTGGGCCAAACTAAATCTTTTGTGACTCAGAGGCTCCAGATCCATTACTTCATACATTTCCTAGCAGACCTCTTTCACAACTGTCAAAAAGTACCTTGAAATTTCTGCTTTGCACTTTAGTGACTGAACAGAATATGATTGTGGATCTGCCTTTGCATCTGGTCACAACCCAAGGTGTTTATTCTTGTATTACTCTGAATAAAAGTGTTTAGATACTGTTAGGCTAGAGGAAAAAGACAATGAGAAAGGAAAATCAGAGTTAAAAAGACAACTTTCAATTATTGTTCAGTAATGGCCCTTCTAGATGAAAAACTATAAATTAACTTAAAGGAATGGGGAAAATACTAATGTAAAACAAAAAAAGGTACAAAATTGAGATGTAAGAAAGTAAAATTAGGTCCTTGCAGGCACACTCTTTTTAGTATTCTGCCACTAGGGAAAACTTTGAGTATAGAAAATAATACAGCCAAGCAAAAGAAACATAGATTTCTTCCTCAGATTTTTGTCTTCACACATATTCTATCTCTTCAGTTACCCAAGACAATCTTTTCTTGTGAAACACAAGGATTTTCTATGGAAGAAGGATGTTCTGAAAGCTCCTGGGCATTTCCAAGAGAATAGGGAAACCACAAATCTTCTTTTTGAAGAATGCAGTTGCCAATGGGGATTAGATGGCTCTCCCCGTTTTGGCCTGGATTTCTAGTTCACTGGCACTTCAAAGTCACACTTTGAATGTCCCAACCATGAGATCCTGGCTTCTCATTAATAACTACATGTTTAGTTGGGTTAATTAACAGGAATATAGCATCCTCTGAAGCAAGAGCTAAGGAAACTGAATATAAGTGGATATAGCGTCTACTGAAGGAGCTGTGGTTGCTCCAAATGGATGAATCCAGAATGCACAGGCTGCAGAGGATGGTAAGATGTTGCTGCAGATTTTGCTCTAGAGTACTTACTGTGTTACACTGAGCTCATGGGCACTCTGTGCCCCCTTCCCCGGGACCCTGTGACTCTGATCAAGATAACCCTGGACCCCTCCTTCCTGCCCCAATGGGGTTGGCGGAGAGCCAGGGAAGCCCACCCTGTCCAAAGTCTATATAGACCCCTGACATCTCCTATTCATGCTCTTTTGCCCCACTCTCCCCATGGACACCACAGAATAAAGAGAGCTGAACCAATGTATATCAGGGTAAGAGCCTCTTTTGGAAATCTTTGCCATCTCATGATATTCCTCTCCTCACAGCCTTGGACCTCTGGGCTAGCCTGATATTCAGGGGGCTGTGCGAGGGGGGGAATGTCATTGCTGGACTTTCTTGTTCAGCAGAGATTTAACAAAGCTGTCTGGTTCAGGTGTTTCAAGGGCATCACCTCTGTATTACTCAAATGCTCTTATTCTACCAGAATGGGCCCCTGAAGATTCACAAAATGGTCTCAAAAGAGACTACAGTGGTTGTAGACACTAAAATAATTGTAGACTGTATCTTAACAACTTACATGGGTATGTGCTGGGATTTATACACACAAAGCATGGGAAAAAAGAGCTTACCAGAGAGTTTGTCATCCTGCATTGATAAGTGACCACCCACAGCAGTGAAATAGGTCTTTTTTAAGCTGTTGCTTACCCATTCACTAGAAGTGCATGTAAAGTCGATGCATTTTTATTCTTCCAATCTGGGTGTAGATTCAGCCATTTTTGGTCCTGCATTTGCTCACTCTCTATTACAATTTCTGTTTTGGATGGTCCTCTGAAACAAATGAAAGACATTGATAGAATTTCTGTATTACAGTTATGACAGTGAAGAGGCCCTAACACACCTGTTTACTCTAAAGACACATGTCTGAGTGATATGGCAAAGCCACGAGTGGCAGATACACAGGAGAATGAAATCACCCTGAGAAGCCAGGCCAGCCAACATGTGACTGTCATGTTGTATTTCCCAACAAGAAGCAGAACTGAAATCAGGAACAACAAGACCTTCTGGTAGCATTTACTGTAATGCACACATTGATACCGTTTTAACAGTTTCTTGGCCTCCCAAAATGAAAAAAAAAAAATTAGATCTTCATATGTAAAAGAGGTAACAGATAAAAATATTTTCTTACATTTCTGTCATTGTAAATCCATTAAAATTTAACAATGAAGAGCAGTCTAGGCCTTGTTAATAAGACTTGAGAGTATCTCTAAGCCCAGGCTGCCTGTTTTGTGAAACAAAACAAATCACTGGTGACAATGTCGAATTCATTGTTCTATAGCAACCTAACAAGTATGAGGGTTAGAACCAGGAGATATTTTCATATATCCACTTCCTCAAACTAGTTATTGTCTGATAGACTCAAGAAATTGCTGTTGTATTATACCTTGGCTGCCAAATGGAAAAAATTACAGCATTTCTAAATTACTTTACTTGTCATGATGCTTTCCAGCACAGAATCATTCATGATTAGCCATCGATCCCTGTCACTGACAAGAACTTTGAAGCAGTGCTCTCCCAAACAGCAGTCAAAGGCCAAATTCTAAATCCTAATTCATGGAAAAAAGAATGAGAGAATTTCAGAAAAACTGTGATGTGTCCTTAAATTTGCTTGTGAACCCAATCTCTCATGATAGTACCTGGTAATGCCAGCCAGGATATTAGTTTGCCTTTAAATCCAATTCTCAATACTGATTGTATTTATCTAAAAAAAATATTTAAAAAACCACCAACATTCTTTACCCACTTGATTGCCTAAACTAGCAGAGATCAAAGAATTCTGTTTTATGGTAAAGTTGTCAGTATAACCATATGGAAATATTTTCAACACAGCTGGCAGAATAAGCCAAACTTCGAGGTCACGGCCCTGGACCCTGCCTGCTACATTACTTATTTTTCAGAACCTTCTCTGGGCATATTAAGCAAATATCATTCCATGATCTACTAACTAGAATGTGCAGGCATATGTTTGCTGCAAAAAGAGCTTTCTTCCTCAGTGACTGCTTTTAGAATTCACATAAAGATCTCCTCTCTTCCATACTTCCCACCCTTTTTCCTACCAAACATATGCAAACTTTTTTCTTACTATGACATTCTGCCCTATGATCTCTGAACAATGATGTTCACCATTTCATAGCTGCATTCAGTGGTATTTTATGAACTTGTAAACACTGTCTGATCTATAAAATATGTAACTCAAAAATGTGCAAAAATGTGTGAGTATCATGCCATTTGATTAATCTGTATTATACCAAATACCATACCTTTTTGATGAAACCTGCAGTTCTGAATTACAGATTACAGTGATGCTACAATCAGAATTAAGTAGACATGTACTTCTAAATCAAGGTAACAACCTACAAAACAGTCATACCTGCATGAAATTTTATAATTATTTTACTTAGCAAAAGATCATACCTATACCTTTTTTCTTTGGTGGTCACAGTTTGATATAAATCACTCAAAACCAGGATACCTTAATTTTTATCATTAGAATGGCCTATATAAACATTTATGTTCCCCCCTTGATGCTGCTTATAAAAGAATATTTTTTAGATAGGCAAGGGCTGCCACTTGTTTCCTTTCATCAACTTAATGAGAAATAGCCAGAATGAAGGGGAACAAAAAGTCTCATTTCTAGATGAAGAAAACTGGAGGTAATGGTTAGCATTTGTGTAGAGACCAGAGCATTCTCAGAATTGCTAAAGAATGAGAGAACATGAGCTAAAAATCTTAGGAGTAAACATTCAGGCTGGTGAGAGTTTCTAGGTGTGAGACTTCCAGAGGGGCTGCTGAGCCAGGAGCACACATTACACCAGGGACTGTAAATCACTCAGGGAAAAGGTGGGAGGTGGAGCAATGGGTACCCACTTTAGCCAGCCCCACCCTGTGCTCCACAAACACTGCAGCCAGCAGGCTCGACTTGGTCCCTCTTGGAGCTGTAGCACACGTTTTCTTCTGAGTTTCTAAGACAACAAGTTTATATTGCTGATTACTTCTACACATCAAGCTACATCTTCAAGTTCAAATACAGCTCTCCTGCCACTTTTTTAGTTTAGTAGCCTGCTGAAGTTGCAATATCTTTCAATATGTCAGGCCAAGCAAATAAAGACTTTTTTTATTAAATGCTTCCAGAAGGTCTTTCATTTCTCTGTAGTTTTCTGGGTTTCCCCCTTGGTTTGAATATACCATAAGTGCTTTGCTCAGAAACTTGGTGTGAATTTTAAATTACTGCTTTTAATTATTACCTTTACTGGCAAAAAGCAAAATTGAAAAAGTATGTTGACTGAAACCATACATACTGGAAGACAATGTGCAGTTTTGAGGTACATTGGTTTAAGATGATATTTAGAAACAGGAAAGGATCACACAAATGGGTTTCAAATCTTTGAAAGGCCTCTGGGACTGACTTATAAGGAGGGGTTGAGGGTACTGAACTTGCTTATTCTTGTGAAGAGGAAGCTAAGGGGCAATTCAACAGCAACCTGCAATTACTTGAAGAGAAGTTAAAACAACTGAAAAAAAAATTTCTCAATAATGCTGCATGGTAAAACATGGGAAAATGGCCTAGACCGACAGCTTTGGAGACTCACAGCACATGAAAAGGAAATACTTTTTCATTAGGAAGGTGAAGCAGCCCTGAAACAGAGAGCCCTATCCATCAAAGTTTTCAAGACTTGGCTACAGCAGAGCAATGGTTGAAGCGATCCCACTTGGCAATAGGCCTGCATCATGTGGGAGAAGGACTAGATGTTCTCCAGATGCCTGTTACAGTGAGGATTTTATGATTCTTTTGCACAGCACTCACTGTAGTGACCAGAGCCTATGATGAAGAGCTGAATCTTAAAGAACGCCAGTAGTTACTGGACCAGACTTTTCACACAGCAGAGCATGCTTTAACATTACAGAACAGTCACTGAATCACAGAATCACAGAAATAATTAGGTTGGAAAGAGCTCTGAGATCACCAAGTCCAGCCAATATCTGTATGTAGATATCTGAAATACCTACATTGCTTCAGAAAGTTTATTAATGCTACCTGCAAACTTAAGACATTCATACCATGTTCATAATAACTCACACATTTTGAGTGGTGATTTTTTGGCCAGATAACTCACCAGGTTCATATAATAAATTATAAATCCTAGCTGCACCACAGGACTTGATAACATCTTACAGTGCTATCTGGATGAAATTATTTGCATACTCAAGTATTATTTTAAAACCCACATGGTTCTGAAAGTCTGAACAAACCATAACATTTTAATTTTCTCATGTGTCTAATATCTGCAGTAAATCTTTATAAGCAGAAGAGCTGCACTCACTAGTCCTTCTGAGCTCAAACTACTCAAACATACACTCAATGAATAAATTTTTGGGTTCCTGTGGCCTCAGCCTATGGGCTTCTCCAAGATTGTGTAAAGTTCCATATCAAAGTAAGTTTACAATAGATGCATGTAAAAATAAAGCAGCAATGTTTTATGACTTTTTTCTCCTCTATTTGAGGTGATAGAAATACCAAGTTTAGTGGTATAAGACAAGTGTGACTTTCACACAGATTTTCATTATGTCCTCTGCACTGCTTTCAAAAATGAAATGGGATTAGGACATATGAAAAAATTCTTCCACAAGACTTTCTTTCACTATAATGTTAACTATGAGAAACTCAGCCAAAAGAAATCTTATGAGGCCATCTGATCCATTCCCCTAATTCAAAATAAGATCAACTATATCTAAATTCTCTCTGGCAAATTTTTGTGCCTCCTGTTTGTATGTAAATTTAATGAGAAAGAATCCTCAGCATTTCCAGTCAATATATACAAGCAATTTTTTATAATGTTTATTCTTAATTTTCCTACTTGTCATTTAAGCTCATGTCTCTTTTTTCCATCAGAAATGGAGAGCAGCTCATTCCTAACCTTCTACATATTTCAAGACTCCTATAACTCCTTCCCCCTGACTGACCAAGCAGAGTTTCCAACCCTTCTCCACAGACCATGCTTTCTAGATCTCTGGTCATTTCTGTTGACCAATTCTCATTTAGTCCAAATCTAACACAAAGTGAATACCACAAAGTGATTACAAGTAAACATTCTTGTTTAATTCAGGCCATTTTGCCAGCCTGTCAAAAATTTTTTGAATTCTGATCTTGTCCTCCAAAATGCTTTCAGATCCTCCCAGCTTGATGCTGAATGAGAAATTATCAGGCCTGCTCTCCACTCTATCATCTGAATAACTCACAACACCATTGTAACCTCCCAGATACACTGGCATGCGTCTAGCCCCCCACCAATACATCTTTACGGTCTGAAAATAAATCATCAACATTCCCATATCATTTCATCTCTGTTCATAGTTCCTTATTTATTTCAAAAGTCATTTCACATAGTGTGAAAGTTAAAAGTATATTGCATCTGAACTTTTTTCCCCATCCACAGTGTGTCTGGTATTTCAAGAAATAAATTAAGGGACTCTGACATTATTTGTTCCTGATAAATACATTCTGTCATTAAGACCCTATACTGCTGTAATTTGTTGGTAATTCAAGCTAGGAATGTGGTTTATAAATCTTTGTATCTCATTCTTTTATCCTTTTTAATGAAAGATGACATACCAGTTTTCCTCCATTCTCTACAACTTCTCAAACCTATGGCTACCACTACTGTCAGTCATAATGGACACCCACCAGAGCCAGAAATATTAAATGCTCTTAGAGGATTTCAACAAGACTAGCTACTTTGAAATGCAGTGTATTACCCATTAATTTCTTACTCTAACCCTCTTTCTTAAGTCTTTGCTAACTTAGTAAAGTAATTTGATTTCCTAAGGTTTCTTCATGGTTTTGTTTTGGGTTTTTTCTTGCTTTGCCTTTTTTTCTTCCTGGCTTTTCACATTTCCCAGGACACTTTTGGTTCTACACCAGTTCTTGTAGGTTTGAGGTACATGCTCACTCTCTCTAGAATTCTACTTTCCATTTCAGGTCATCCTACAGCTTGTACCTTGGCCAAGTTAGACTTGCTCCTGCACAGAAAGATGTCTGCTAGATCTAATGACCATCACAGGGCACATAAAATTCTAATATATCTAGTTCCTTTAATCTGAAAGTTTATTTTAATCTAAGTCAATTAAAAAATATTTAATAACCGATAAAATCAGTTACTAATAAAATGAGGCAAAACATTTTGCAGTAGCACTTACATAACTCAAGTAGGAATTTCTAACTTAAATTTTACTAGTTTTTCAATTGAAATTTAAAAATTAGACTATTCCTTTAATAAATTTAATTTCAAGCTAGCAATTCTCTTATGTTTAAGAGAGGAAGTGTGTTTAAGAGAGGAAGTTTTAGAATTGAGAGAGAAAAAGAGAATCCTGTGTTCTACATTATAAATGAGCTCTCAGAGGAGAAAAATAATGTTTCATTAGATAAGCTGTACAATGGAAATATTTAATAAAAAGTTTTCAGAGATTTCTAGTCTGCTACTTGCTGATTACTGTGCACAACAGTAAATCAAAGTTTACAGTGAAAAGTAAGCATTATGTCTTTCATACTAAATTATAATGGAAAACAAAGAAAACAAACTAGAAGGCAGGGACTAATTTTAGGTCATGAAGTTCATCACTGTTTGTAACACATGTGGGATACTTCTGTATAGCATTGTATTCAGTACCCTACTGTCCCTATTCCATTTGGAAAAACTAATTCTAATGTATTCAAATTGCAAGTTTAGAATAAAGTATAATCCATAAACTGGATTACTTCTTTCTTCCAAGTCACAGTGACACATGTCAGTATAATTCTATAATTCCATTCTTGCAGGCCTCATGTGACAGCAGGTTTGAGAAAGGAAGCTTTGAGTTAGGCTAGAAGGCAATGGATTACACGCATATGGGCACTAATTTAAAGCAAATTAGACTTATTTCAGAGCTGGAACAGCATCTGTTTCCTGTCTTGGTCTTGAGTAGAATTCTCTAAAGCCACAGCTGTGCCATACCATATGGACTAAAAGATCAACACCTTGATTTTAACAGTATTAAAATCAGAGATATCTGAAATTTTAAAGTAAAAACATATTGAAATATATAAAATAGAAATTAAAAGTATTCACTGCATTGACTGATAAATAAGTTTAAATTATTCTTTAAATTTTTTGGTAGAAAATCACTGATAATCACTGTGATATTTTAAGGTTTCAAAATCCCTCAGGCCTATTTCCTAGCTGACAAACCAGGCAAACCTACAAAGAATGAGTGAACTTATACTGAAAAAAAAATTACTCACTTGCTTTATCTCTGCATGCTGGTCTTGGCTGGGATAGAATTAGTGTGGGGCTGTGTTTCCGATTTGTGCTGAAAACAGTGTTGATAACAGAGGGCTGATTTTGTTCTTGCTGAGCTGCTTCTCACCCCACTCAAGCAGCGATGGGGCTGGGGGTGCACAAGGACTCGGGAGGAGTCAGCCAGGACAGCTGACCCCACCTCTCCAAAGGGATATTCCACATCCCACAGCTTCATGTTTGGTATGAAGAGTGGGAGGAAGGAGAAGGAAGGGGCAGATGTCTGCAGTGAGAGCATTTGTCTTCCCAAGTCATCAGCACAGGTGAGGGACCCTGTTCTGGAGATGGCCTAACAGCTCCTGCCCATGGGAAGTGGTGAATGAATTCCTTGTTTGGCTGTGCATGGCTTTTGCTTTACCTATTAAACTCTTTTAACCTCAACCCATGAGCCTTCTTTCTTCTACTCTGCTGGATTGTCTTCTCCCTCCCACCAGGAGGAGTGAGCAAGTGGCGGTGCAGGGCTGAGCAGCTGGCTAGCATTAAACAACAGCACTCTCTTCTCTGACTCTGGAAATTATAGGTTTCATAAAGTATAAATTTGTAGCTAAACTTAAAAAAAGACCAGTTGGGAGCATCTGACATTAAAGCTTCAAATACAATCTAGATTTTTATATCTGAAAGTATTAATTCAAACTCTAAATAAATTCTTCAACCTCAAAGTAAAGTCATTCATTTACAGTAAATTAGCTTTTCATTTTAAAAATACGAAAGATGCATTTAAGAGAAAAATGTTGATTTGAAACAGAATTTTAGTTCTTTAATTTCAGTAGCTTGAAACAATTAACTTGATTTTTCAACTTTTTTCCCCCTGTAATGAAAGTATTCACTGAATTTGAACAAAGTTCACTTGTTTCTTTGTTCAACATCATCCTTTACAGAATTATTATTCACCAAGAGATCTTCCCATAGTGTAATTTATGCTTCTTTTTTCAAGACATGTAAGGTTTTTATTCCTTTATTACCAATTTCTTCTTCTGTCATCTCTAACAGAACTTGTGAGCCATATTCTCACAGTCATTTTAAAATTTTTGAGCTTACTTTTTATATCTAAAGCTAATGCTGACATCATTTCCTCAGCTAAGATTACCTTTGAAAGGACACCTTGTCTGTTTAATGATACAGGGCTTATATGCAGAGAACATCTTTCATTAGGATGCTTCATAGGAGTTGAGGAGAGGGTGTGGAGGTCAAGTAAGACTTTCCTGAATTACACAGCAGAAAGAGCAAAACTGAAGGAAGACCCATTTGCCTGAAAGCTTGGCTGATAAAAATGCTGTGTTCCTTGCAGTCCTTGACCCTCTCAAAGTCTTAAGTCACCTCATTACATGATAGAATGGGTTGCTCAGAGTCCCATGCAACCTGACCTTGAATATTTCCAGGAATGGGTTGTCCACCATTTCTCTGGGTAACCTGTTCCAGTGTTTCACCTGCTCAATGTAAAACATTTATTCTTTATGTCTAGTCTAAATCTACACTATTTTAGTTTCCATATATAAGTAAAAAAAAAAAAAAAAAGCTACCATTCATTGTAATTCCTCGTCTAAGGAATTAAGTCTTCAATTTGATATTTCACATGCATTATTTTTCTCTAAGAATAAAGAGAGCTATTAAAATCAAGTGTTGCTGTAAGTAATTATTAAATTATTCATTATTAAAGACATCTGCATGGCCACAAAATTGGGTGGTTCTGCAGTGTGCTCTAATGTGGACAGAATTTATACATTCACAGCTTTAATTTTCTGATGGAGTAAAACAAAGTTGTTCCCACTGGGAATACTTGCAGAAAAGCACTGCGTAAAACATTTCATATTTATTTAATATTTTTTAAATGCAAAAAGGAGAATTTTTATCATTATTTGAGTTCTGTGCAATATGCAGTCTAATTTACCTGCAACCTCAATGGTGAGTAAAAAGAGCTTATTAAAAACACCAATGTTATCAACCCCACATTCAGCCATTCTTGTTATAAGTAATTTAAATAATGTATACAAGACATAAATGCCAAGAGATGAAGTTCATGGCTTCAGATCAGACTATACAGTAGCATGAAACTCCAATTACAAAGTCTTCCATTTCACCATATAGAAAACAATAGCCTCTGTGACACTTTCACTGAATCCCTATGCAATGTTAATGAAATAATTAAATAGCTGTATTACTCATATTACTCCTTTTGGAAATCAGTTCTGGTAATGCATTATAATCTTTGTTTTTCTTATGGCTTTTCAAAGACAATTTACTGTATTTTTTGCAGTGCCACTCCAGAAAAACTTGAGTTTCTAAGAAAATCAGGCTTCAGGTGTCTGACAAAATTGGGCATTAAGAAAGAAAAGACAAACGCTAGTCTGGTTTTCTGACATAATGCATGAAAGAATTAGAAATTAGTCATACTGTAGACTTCAGATTTTAATTTCCCACTGCCCTTGACAAAACTGCCGCTCCCTCTTAAAAAGATCTTGCAGAAAAATTGACTTCTAGAACAGAAGTCACCCTGTTAGACAATGGGAGTTGTGAGATTTAAGAACCATTTTTGTCTCTCATGTTTCTTAAAAGTGTAGGATTGATAGCACCTGTTAGCAAGCATCAGTGAAGAAGCAGGAAGGTGTAAGTTTCTACCCATGCTGTTTTCAGCCTAGGCACACCTCTGAAAAAAAGGAGGGAATCAGAGGTGTAGTGAAGAAAAGCAAACAGAAAAGACACCTCAATTCAGTTGGGGGATCAGACACATTTGCCTCTTCCTAGTAAGAGACAACTGTGAACATCAGAGCAGCTGGACTTGTTTTTTATCCAACAGTTATATTTTGCATCAATTATTCCACAATTTAGTGTGCATGCAATAAGACTCTTAGGCTATTTCTTTTTCTGAGTCCCACACAGAAACCCTCTCTTTAACAACCTGTTGTCCCGAGATGCCCAAGTTAAATACATACATTTGTCTAACTTACAGTATTTATTGCAGAAAACAAATAAATGAAGATGATTTTTCCTGTATTTCCTAAGTCTGCTTTAATTCTTTAGGAAGAAACAGAGTATTACATTGCCAACCAATTCTGAGCCTCAGCAATAACTGTAAGTTCAAGTACTGAGACTTGGCAAAACACCATTATATTTTCAAAACACTCTTAATAACCATAGTGTAACATTTATAAAGTGGTGAAAGTGCCTATTTTTAAATGAAATTCTGTTCCTGCCATAGTTCAAAAATTTTGTTACCTCTTTTCTCTGTAAACCATTTCCACAATAGGTCTAACATTGCAGTGATCAATGATAGTTCACATCTAACTCCAGAACTCCAGTTGTCCTAAAGAAATTTGTCAAAGCTACAAACTACTGACCTTACCCTAAACCCATCTGATTGCAGGCCAGTTGGCTTAAGTTTTCTTGCCACTCATCAGCACAAACATGGTTATCAGCAGCTGACCTGTGAATGGTCAGGAGCATCAAGGAATTTGTGGTTTTAGACAGTGTAACTGGAAAGAAAAAAGGAAGAAAACTTCAGTATTATTTAAAATAGTTTTATAGATGGAAAACTGAAAACATACAACTACATTCAAGATTCTTCCAAGTTGCTGGCACCTTTCCTAGCTTTACTTGCTGAATAACTATGCAATTTAAAACCAAGGCAAGTGTGGTTATCAGAACCTTGCTAAGAGTAAACAGCATGACACATTGAGAGAGTAAGAGTAAACCCAAATACTTCTAATTCACCAGCACAGATTCACATGAGTTGCTGATAGCCTTAATTTTTATAGCCTTAATCTAGTTAGAGAACCTAGATAGAGAGACCATCATCATTTCTTCTCTCTTAATATCTATAAAAAAATTCAGGAACTGCTTTTATCACATGCAAAAAAGATTCTCAAAAGGTCCCTCTAAATCTCAGCGTTTTCTCAGTCCCTCCTCTATATACAATACTTTCCAGATTACACACATCATCTACACATTTTCTTGCTGTATCACTTTTCTTATATCTTTTCACTGTGAGACTTCATATTGAGCTTTTGTGTTCTCTTTTGTCCATTTCCTCACATGCTTTCCCAACCTCACCCCAGTCTTCTCGTTGCTTATACAGGGAGCACCTCTTCACCACTGTATTCTGAATTAAATCACCAGTGATTACTACCATCACCCAAACAGCAGAAACTTACCACAGTCCCATTCATCTGAGCTGTCACTGCAGTCTGCCTGCCCATCACACCAGAGCTCACGGGGCACACACTCATGGTTGGCACATTCAAGTTCACTCTCGTCACAAAATGCTGCAAAGACAAAAACATGCTTCCTCCTGAGAAAGACATGATCAAAGTGAAATTCACATTGAGATGAAAAATTGAGGAGCGGAGGGTGGAGGTAGATACAGACCAGATTTATGGAAAAAGTAAGCTAGACACATTTGCAACAAAATTCAGTATGGATACCACTGATGCAGAAGGTGGTTGCTGCCATGCAGTGACAGAGGTTATTGCAATTCAGAGAGAAGGAAGAGCATCTGCAAATGCAAGATCTGGGATTACTTAGTATCCTTTGTGATCATGTTATATGAAACCTGTCTAAGCCCCGCAGAAGCTGTGAGAGAAAATACTGTTCTGTGCTTTTTAGCTGACTGATCCAAAGTTGTTTAGTTCTTCATTGTTTTTGAAAAAACTAATTTACCACAACGAATATTTCCTCTCAGCCACAACAATTATATACTAATTTTTAAATTCACCTTTGCTGTTGAAAATTATATATTTATTTTTATCTCTACTTTAGAGGTAGAGAACTGCTGTTCACAGATGGTATCCTTACATTTGGATTTCCAGAGTCTGTTCAGTATGGGAACCACAAGAGCTTCCATTTGCAAATGGATTTTAGTTTTCCTCCAACAACCTCCATTCCAAAAGGCAGGTGTGTAGAAATACAGTACCTTCCTCATTAACACACTTCCAGCTTCTATAAACCCCATCACATTAGGGAATTCTGAGACCTAAGGGAGGGCGGAGAGGGAGAGAATGCATGGAAAGGAGCTGCATTGACTTGTGCCCTTGTCTGGCTGATGTACAGCATTTATAGTGCCATACAATCCAAGCATTTATTTGCAGCAGTAGTACAAAAAGTGCACTCCACAGGGAAATACCATACAGATAGAGCAGACAGTGCTGCCTACCCCTGATCTTTCTGGCTCTGGAATAAAGCATGCAAAACCAGAAAAAGCACTTTACCTCCACTTTCCAGAGAGCATAATTCAAAATCTGGAAGCCCTCAGCTGGGAAAACTTTGCTGCCATTTTAGAGTATTCAAGCCCCAGATCAAAAGCAGAGAGGAAATATAGTCTGGTAATTATAAACTAGCTTAACCTTAGTTCTCTTTTCTCTGTTGTGATCCTAATGTGTGATCAGAAGTAAATCACTTTAATACCACCTCCACTCTAAATTACAGCACAGAGCTTGAAGTTAAGTGGTATAATCTCTACAATGAAAAGCAGATTAAGAAATGTTTTGTGAGCTTCAGCTTCCCAAAAAGAAACAAAGTTTGATCTAGTGATACATGCAGGCACATAAAATGCTCCTACCATCAGAACTCTAGAGACTCAGGAACAGCTTCTTTTAAATCACATAATTATATCCAAACATCCCAGCAAAAATGGCAAAATACCAGGTTTACTCAGAGAATGAAAAAATTTCAGTTTTCAACTAACTTTACCAACCAATGATCGCTCCTTTCTTGTGGAAATTTTATCCCAGTATGTCTTTTCTACTTCCTTGTCTTGGGAGCATGCCCACAGCACCAGGTTTTCTCAAGAGAAGAGAACTCAGAGTACCATTAATATATTAATGAAAGCGGAGCTAACATCTCAGGGTATTCACTCCCAGCTTAGTAAGCAGGGTGGGAGCTGCTGTGTACAGATGTTCCACCACTTCCCATTCACCATTCTCAGATGGAAACAGAACTGAGGCCAGCCCCCCAGGGGAGCAGGGGGCCTGCTCCTCCCTGCCAGCACTTTGGACAGACTTGCACTGTGCACATGGACAGCACGCCCACGCCACCAGCGCACCCTCCTAAGTTCTTTATCTTCATTGTTATCACAGCTTGGATTGTAGAAGAAATCTGGGGAGCCAAGTTGCGAGACAATCTAAGAAATATCAATCAGGAAAGAAACTAAACAAGGAAGAGAGAAGTAAGACATTTACCAAGAAACAGGTAAGTAGACATCAAGGATAAAAAGAGCAGTTAGCAGCTATGAGCTATGCCTGTATAAAATTAAGTTGAGGAAACTTGGGAAAAGAAGTCAAAAATCTACAAGAAATAAAAGTACAAAGGTACAAGAACAAGGAGGGAGAAAGAAAAGAAAAAAAAAGAAAAAGAGGATGAGAGTGTCAAAACAGACAGCAAGGATCCAAGGATGTGAACAACAAAGGACACAAGATGAGGAAAGAGAGAAATTGGTGTCATAACAAACTGAAAAGGGAACTGAGGGAATGACTAACTCTTTCTGCCTATAGAAAGCATAAAACATTTTTTCTTTGATTTATTTTGCCCCCCAACATCCCAAAATGCCATCAGCCTTTTAAGGGAGTAACAAACTGTGTGAGTCCTTACAGCAATTCTTTTCATCCATCATGTCAGGGCAGTCTGGGAAACCATCACAGATCATGGTGTGTTTGATGCACAGTTTCTTCAAAGGACACTCCCAAAGACCCCTTTCTCTGCAACCTGGAGGCAGAGAAGCACAGTTCTGAAACACTTGCATGCTATATTGAATCAACCATTGTCTTCCTGAAACACACAAAATAATTTTACTTGCAATATAAATTTTAAAGTACCAAGAATAGTTACTAAAGAAGAAATGGAAATAAGAGTAGCACAGTGCACACTTGATAAATGGATCTAAATATTATAACACTTCATAATACTTCAGTGCTTTTGAAATAATAATTGTATTATGAGTATATATTATACATATCTATAATAGTTTAGGCGTTAGCTCAATACCCATACACCACTATTCTTGAAATACATTTACTAGTAATATAAGAACTTGTCTAATCCTGAAGTCTGTAGGAATTCCTCAGTCTTTTAAAAGTAAATCCTAGAAAAGCATGGAATCTCCATGAAACAATGTAGAAATACATACTCTTTTTTCCCTGGCAGTGATGATCTAGAATCTAACACAGAATCACAATGAAAAGTAGAAAGAGAAGTAATACAAAACTATGTCAAAGTGCTTTGACAGAAAAATTTCTGTTGGTCAGCTAGAAGAAATAAGAAAGCTACACATTAGAAAATAGTTTTCTCTTGTTTTATTCCACTTTTTATTTCCATCAACTAATAAACTAATTTATTGTGATACCAGTTTAAATACTTTGACATACTAATGTCCTGCATGTCTGACACTCTGGTTTTATAGGAAGCCATAAAAATGACATATTGTCCTGACTAAGCCAGATTATTTGACTGCCTTGTTTGACCTGTTCTATAGACAATACTTTTCATTTTAATCTAAGGGCAAATTCAGTTGATAGTCCTGATGTTCATACATGCAAATAGTTCAGGTATAAATTTTAAAACACTATTTAAAGCGGCACCTCTCTGTGCCTGGACCTGGAACTTTGAAAGCATATCAGCAGTAAGTTACTAAGCAAATACATTGTCTTCAAGAAGTTCTAATTCACAAGTACATGTTTTACAAATATGAACCAGAGAATCCCTACTGGATTACTGGAAAAATCTATTCTGGTTTTACTTGTACCTGGATGTGTGGGGTGCTTGATTTTGCTTAGATTTGAAAAAACACGTAAATAAAGGTTAAAGCCCAGAGAAATAAATAGCCTTAACCTTTGAAACTAATTCCTCATGATCAAATAACTTTCTTGGGTACCACCACTTTCCAGGTTTCCTTCTTTACAATATTTGTGATAGCTATTAATGAAAAATTAACTGAAACAAAAAAAAAATCTCTACTCTTATACAGAACAAGGAATGCCTTGTTAGGTTCTTGATATGAACATGAAATAAAAAAAGCTGAAAACCCTCATAATTCATGAACCTAGCAATTTTTAGCAGTGTTTACAATTCATTAAATACAGTTCTTTTTCTCTTCATCACACATTAGAGTTTTACACTGAACTATACTAGGACTCTCTAAAACTAATCAAATAGACAAATACAGAGACAATTCCCTATGAAAAATTCACCAGTTACTGAATTCAGTGTTCAAGTACACTGTTTTGTTGGTAGAGATCATCTACCATTTGGAGTATTTATGCTTCATCTCTAATTATTTTTGTGACATGCATTTTTAATTCAACGAAAGGGAAGTGAAAAGAGAGCTAGGAAAACTTGTCTATATGGACATTACTCCCATCTCAAAAATCCATTTTGACAAGAGATATGGTTTCATATATGATCTTACCTTCATTCCTCTTCATAACATGAAGGAAGTTACCAATTGTTATCCATATATATATATTTTATTTTTTTCCCACACAATTATCATTAAATCATTAACGTCAAGACCACATTCTCTCACCTAAAATACTACAGGTCAAAACAGAGAATGCAGAAAATAGTGAAAGACAGTGTTGGCTATGAATGTTATGTCCTCAGTTTCTTTAGTAGGTGTAGGACCTTCTTCTCCCTGCCAGAGGCATTGTTCAGCAGCCAGCAATTTAATGCATTCAATTACAACCAACTGTATTTAATACCACAAACTCTCGTGATATCTTTCATAATAATGTTTTTTCATATTACCTTCCCTGCACTTTACTGCTCTCCGAAGTCTCACTTCCAGTAATGTCAGTCAAATTTTCTCCCCAAATCCCAGTATAGATGGCACTAAAGTCTCAGGATTTCATTGCAATTGCATGCCTGAGATGTCCTCTTCCAAAGCCCATGTGAAAGTATGGCAGGGATTGTTGACAGAAGGAGACAATGAGTGCTGAATACAGCTCTTCTCTGCATAGGAAGAGTGTACCTCAGTCCCTTTGCATGGTTCTAACTTATATTTTTTGGTCAGAGTAGTCTAAGCATAAGAAAGCTGTAGCAAGTCTTTTTCAACTTCCTCCTCCCTGCACTGTAAAGCTATTCCATGTCTGTCATTTAAAGCACTTCAAATACAAGAGTTTCAAATTAAACAGTGTTTTTTTAATGTTAGAAAACTAATTTAAAAGGATAAAGCTAATAAAATTTGAGTATCCATTTACACATGGAAAGATCATCAAGTTTTGATTTTGTCCTGCACACATAGAATATGAGTAAGTCAGACACTCCTGGAGCTCTACAAGGACATTTTATTCTTCAGTAACACTATTAGCCCTGGTCAATGTAATGTCACCCTGACAGCATAATTTCCTAGCTGATACAGTCTTCCATATTTATAGAAGCTGATAACAATTCTGCTGATTGCTTGTGACATTCTGTCTAGACTTTAGAGAGAGATCCACTCGAGACATGAATGTTACATATTAGAACAATATTTCATATGTTAATGTCTAGGAGAATAAAATTACCCTAAAAGACACGTAACAATTTGTTTTCTAGGGAGTTCAAAATTGGTGGCAACAAAAAATATTTAGCAGGGAGGACAATTAAGACAGTTGATTCAAAGTAAAGAGATGTCCAACTCTGAAAGAATCACTGTGATCATCAGTTCTGACTTCCCTTTATAACCCAAACAAGAGAATGACCTAATATTAAATTATATTTCAGAGATCATATCCTTCTTTTTTTCCTGTCTTTCTTTTTTACAGGGGCAGGGGGAGGGAAAGAAATGAAGAAAGAAGAGAGCGAGTACAAGAATGATCTGGAAGCTCCTAGAGATTGAGAATATATCACACATTGTGGGCAAATAAACCCTCGGGTATTGCAAACATTAAAACAATCTGCTTTTTAAAAAGCAGCATTTTACAGGGCTGCCAAGATTGAACTTTAACCTTGCTTTAGCTTTCTGGTGTTGGATTTTATTTTACTGTCTCTGAGTAGAAATTCTCTTATTGCCACAGTTTTGTTGTTCACATAAACTCTGCTTCCCTCTTAACCCATTCTCAGTTAAAAAAAAATACACAGGTTGTGCAACTTAACCCTACTCTATCCAAATGTTTTCCAATCCTTTGCTCATAAGCACACTTCTTTTCTAAATCCTTAGATGTATGATTATTCTCTTTGCCCGTAGGGATGCCAGGCCTGCATGCAGACCTCCCTGAAGGCTACAGCTTAGTCAATTAATAAATATTTAGAACCTCTTTCTCCTGAAACTGTCCTGCCAGCATGTATAAGCATACTTATTGACCAAGAGATTTCCTGATTATTTCAGGCTCAATAAATCCCCTTAAGTTAAAAGTTGAAAGCATCTATACTAAAAGTAAACTCATAAACATATTGGAGAATAAATTTTAAAGGTTTGTGCTTGTACTTGTAACTTGAGGTTGACCAATCTGAAAAAACATACAGAACCCACTTCAGCAACAGAATATATTATAATAACATCTTTTGAGTATACATCCTAACAAGAACATTATCATGTATAAATTTAAAACTACATTTACAGATTCAAGATTTAATCTGCCAGGGAGTTATATTTTAGCTCAGTAAAGCCTTCAGCAATATGAAAATAACTAAATCTGCAGAAATTTTTTAGCTTGATTCTTTAACAAATACTCAAGCATCACAGAATATGGTTATCAGAATCTAAACAATCAGTTATCACAAATTGTATTAATATTGATTAAGAAGGATTCTTGCTGTAGTATTTTTACTGATACTGTCTTTTAAAAAAAACTGCAATACTTTAAAACATGCAAAAAAAGAGGGTTCTCCTTCTCTGAACTCTCATGCTAAAATTCAGATAACTGAATGGAAGATGAAGTTCCTTTTCCAATGCTGCAGCTGCCCTCCATTCCAACTCATTGAATTTATTTACCACAGCTGTCCTCATCACTGTCATCCTCACAGTCAGCTTGACCATCGCATCTCCGGGACGCCAGGACGCACCTCCCAGAACGGCACTTGAAGTGACTGGGTGAGCATTCTGTCAGGGACAGCAAACAGGGACAAACAGGACTCCGTAAGATAAAAGCTTAATCATGACATGGGCACTGATTTGTCAGCCAGGCTGTTTCTGAAGGGTAAATAACACAGACAGAAGGCTTGTGAGACAGGAACTGTGCGTCAGGAGAGACTTCATAATTGCACCAGGAACGCGGTGGAGCAACATCTGCCCGAGCTCTCCCTTCCATGCTGCCCTCTGTCAAATGTCACTGCTTTTTCATATCACTGGCATGCAACATTTAGACTGTATGAATTTCCTAGCTACTCTTCTCACCATTGTGGTGGTGTATTATGCAATGAAATAAGCAGAAGAAATCCCCAGGACCAAAAGAGATTGACAATTATGTGTCTATTTCAACTAATAGAACCAGGTATTAACCCTTTCACTGCTTCTGTCTCATCTCACAGTACCATTCTGGGACAAAGGAGTGGAACAAAATTGGCTAATCTTTAAAAAACTCTTTCACTGATGCTAGCAATTCCCTGGAGCAAGAAATCCAGCAAAGAATTCTGCCAAGAGACTGGCACGGCTGAGTAGGAGAGCTCAGTTTGGAATAATTTCCACAGTTTAAATATTATCATTTAAAGAGGAGTATGAAATAAACAAACACCAGTGACTTTGGGAACCCATTTAAATATTTTATTTGCTATAATATGTGTAGGAGGTACCTTCTACATCTTCATCTGGTGTTAAACAGGTTTGGTTGTCTGAGTTCTCGTCTGGAAACTGAGTGCAGTCTGTATCTTCTGGCCACTGCAGACCTACAATCCCAAGCACAGCCTCACAGCGTTCCTTAGACTGTACACATAATGTCCTGATGAGACAAAGAAGAATTGCACCAAATAACTGAATGAATGGCTTAGAAAGTCACAGATACTAAAAGTTAATAATCCTAGCAAAAGTTAAACATGAAGAGAAAAAAAAAAATCAATTAAACAGATGTTTTAATATGAAAAAAATACTTATATCAAATAATGCTATAGTTGAAATGTTATTTTCAGTTACTGTTATGCAGTTATGCTATAAATAGGTTAAAAATAACCAAATATAACTGCTCACCTCTGTAATAGATGACAGAGAACAATTTTTAAGAAGCACTAACTGCTCTCCTTCGGGGAATAAAAACCAAACACATTTTGTACAAGTGAAATGGTACCTCTTTTTATTATGCTACCTCAGAAACCACATGGTTTCAGAAGGACAAGGTATTTAAGCCTGCAAACAAAAGAGTGAAAAACTCTGCAGGGAGTTCAATAAAATTACAATTTTAGGAGAAGCAAAGCTCAGACCAGCCCAGTCTTGAGGCTGTTGTCAGTTATAGCAACAAAATACCTTCTACATCTTCATCTGGTGTTAGTCAAGTTTGGTTGGTCAAATCAGGAAAAGGCAAGTCCTTCTGCAGCATTTTTTTTTTAAACCATATAAAAGATGGGACTCAATGCAAAATTTGTGTGATCCATTGAGATTGAAACTCATGCATGGTGTCCCTCAAAATACCCACTGTCACATGCTTCAAAATTACAAAGGTAAAAAGGCACAATAGAAAAATCCCATAATGTTTGAAACATTTAGCCATTACTTTTGTCTGGGATCCTAGTAGGTTGAAAAATATTCAACCAAAGGATTCTACCATTTTTTTGTTTTTCAATTTCTTTCATGTCATCTTAATTTGCCTTTATGCATTTTGATTATTTACACATCTTTCTTCTAGAGATAGTCTTTTCATGGGAGGCATTTTATTCCATTCATTTTCCTTTGACCTTTTAACAAATTGAACTTTTTTATTGTCTTGTAATTAGCTCTGGAAAATATTGTGACCAAAACCAACAAAAGAAATCCATATAGGATTAATTCTTTTATGCTGTTTTGGGAAAATAGCACAGTATTAATCCACCCAAATTTAATTTTGTTTTGAGGAATTAGATGAAGAGATATTTTTTTTCCACACCAAACAATTCACCACTGAGTTGAATAACAAGACAGAACGCATTGATGTCAGTCAACCATGTTACAGACTCTCTCTTTCCTTGTACATCCTCCTCAATATCAAAAAGGTTGACTGACACCACTTTATAACCTCAGATTTCTGAATGCCAGGATTTTTATTTTCCAATGACAAAAAAAAAAAAAACCAAAAAAAAACAACACAACAAAAATATTACAATATAGCAGAGACATCTAAGCTACTTCTGTCCTGTGTTCTCTGCACACTCAGATCTTTGGTCAAAGCTGACCTTTTCCAAGGTATTATAAGATATTTAGTTGTCTGTCTGTGGTGAAAGAATTAGCATCTATTTAAACTTCAAAGTCGGCATGGACTAATATTATCAATACTTTATCAGAGATGAAGAATTATGTTCAAAAATTGAAAACATACTTGATACATCAATGAATGTTATAAAGAACAGTAAGTTCAGTTCCTTCCAAAAAACCTCTTACCTGTGTTCTTTACATTGAATAAAACTTTATGAAGACTGTTTCAGTTAAACAAAGCATGACAGCCAAATTAACATAAAGACAACAAAAAGCTTTGCAAAGCAGGGACAGCTGTTTTCTATAGGGGGAGCAGAATTAAAATAATCTGGTTATACCTGGAATGAGATAACAGAACCATGTGCCTGTATTAAAAAATCTAATGCATCTCTGATAAGCTTATATTATAATAGATATAGAATTATAACGTTAACATGCAATTCATGGTTGGAAAGTACACTTTGACTTAAAAAGTGTAACACTGTAAAACTGCATTAGCTGAGCTCAGTTTCGTATTTACAGGAAAAGACAGGTAAAACAATACATATGTCCTGTCTAGTTCAACTAATCACTGATATATTTGAACAAGTGGTCAATTATTTTGACAGTTAGCAGCAGATTCTTAGAATATAATTTCTGTGCTGATAATGTAACATTTTCTGTTGTCAGAGCTTGAAATTGTAAAGTAGATTTACATTTATATTGAAATATTAAATTTATTTAATTTTTATTGGTATGAGCTTATTTTTGTTTTCACTTCTAAAATTTTTTTAGGTTTTTACATTATATAGGTACCCAAAATTCTCCCTAAAATGTTATTGTTAAGCAGATACTACAGATCTAGGGGGACCTCCAAAGGTGCCCCTTCCTGAGAAAAACACTCTGTCTGTGACCTAACATAAGAGTGAAACCTAAAAAATATCGTAAAAGTAGAGCTTTGAATCCTATGATTGAAAGTTTTATGTCACATATTCAATTTGCTCTAAATTTGTTGTTACCCAGTTTTGAGCAGGAAGTTGGACCAGATGACTTCCAGAGCTTCCTATCAAATTAATTTGTTCTGTGCTTTCTATAAATTCCCTTTCATCTGTTTAATACTTTAAATTGGAAGACTATTCAACTGCATCATAACACTTCCTAGAATCTGTTAGCTAAAAGAGCCTGTAATTTAACTTATTTCCCTCTAAATCAGAATAATTTAATCCCATTTTTTTTAAAGAAAGCAGTATAATAAATAAAAACAACCCTTGATTTTCAAACTAGCAAGCCTGACACAGAACTTACATAAACCCCTCTGTAAATCTGAAGCTATCCTGTATGCAATATACTGTTAAATTCTCCTATGTGAAAATTTAACAGTATATTCATAAACTTTTTTGTGGTTCACTCTTACCTTGTGCTAAGAAGCACATCACTAGACAAAGAAATGCCATCTCTTTGTCAACAGTATCACATAATTAGAAATTTTAGGGTTTGTACTGCAATTTTTCATGCACTTTTCTTTCAAACGCAAGGTGTTAATTGATCAATATTGTCAAGGTAGGCCCAATAAAAGAGGCAGAAATACAGAATGAGAGAACTCTAGCAGCCAGTAGGTCAAAGGGCTCTGTCTGTTGGTCAAGTTTATTAGATCTCCTAACCTGCAACAGCTGCTGCTAAGAAAGCCACCTACAGAACACAATCTCTTTGGAACAAATAGTGGCATAAACTTAAAAAGCAGAGTTATGTTACTCAGTGAGGATGGTGGAATAGTTACTCTGACAAGAAGAAAACCTAAGTTAGCCAGGCATTCAGGATGATGTGGCACTCCTAATTAAAAAAAGTAAACATTAATTAAAATCTCACATTTTGTTGAGGATTTGGATAGGGCTTTGCATCAAGTACTGTACTAATGCAAGGAGCTATTACAAACTGTTAATGTTCCAAATTAAATTAATTGATTCCATGTTTAAACACCCTTTATAGTGGCACAATTCTAATTACACACACAGAAATGGAAAATACCTCATAGAAAGCTCACAGCACCCTTCTTGTCACTTTGCTCAACAGTGGAGTGAGCAGGTTCACAGTGCCCTGGGTGAAAAACTCAAGGGTCCTGGCAAACAGGACATCTGGCTACTGAATGGTCACCTGTGATGCTCCTCTGGATTCAACTGCAGGTCCTGTCTTGTTCAGTACATTTATCAATGGTCTGGATGCAGCAGTTTAGTGCACCATTAGCAAGTTCGATGATTACACAAAACCAAGAGATGGTGTTGACTCTCAAGGGAAGAGAGGCCTTTGCACTAGGCAATCATCAAGGACAAGAAATTTAACAAAAACAAATGCCTGATCCTGCATCTAAGATGGAGTAGCACCAGGCACAAACTGGAGAGCAACCCTCCAAAGAGGTACCTGGGCATGCTGGTCAGCAGTAGCCTTTTCCTATGGAATTCAAGCAAAATTTTTGGCATTTTCAATGAAATCATAAAATTGGGAGAAACTACTATGACAGACAGTCAAGAATTAAATGAAATATAGTTTAGTATAGTACCTGCAAGGTGGGATCCGCTGATTTGTATGGGGGTCACATTTTGGTACTAAGATTGTACAGGCAAAAAACATCAGGTACTTGTAGCAGTTGGTCTGAACCAAAGCTGGGAAGAGGGAAGACTCCCAGCTGATAGAGGCTTCCTTCTGTGTCCTGTGGCCCAGGTAGTTTGGGTAATAAGTATAGTTGTAAGGCAAGTTCATACAAAGTTCCAGAGTAATTGGTTCACACTGACCTTTCATAGAGAGAAAACAAACAGAACCACAAGTGGTGTGAGATTAAATTAAATACAGAAGAAATAATTCCATATTTATTTAAAAAATTTATCAGTCAGGGGATATCCTCTCAGACTTGAGAAACTACAAGTTCCAGAGCAAGAGATCTCTTATAAGCTTATTCATACCAGTAAAGGTGGGTTTGAATTTGCCTACCTCATAACCATTAAGATACTTTTATTTCCTTATTAATATTCATTAACTTTCTGAGCAAACCTTAACTTTAAGGTGATACAATAAACTATCCTTAAACCAGTACAGTGTGTACTGTACAGGAACACAGTTTCCACTGGTGTACCTACTATGTTACAGGGTAATTGCCATAATTAGGAAGACAGAGATCATTGGATACTTTGGGTTAGAAAGGATCTCAGGAGGTCTCTACTCCAATGCCCTGATCAAAGCAGGTCAGCACCGAGGTCTGATCAGCTTTCTCAAGGCTTTAGACAGGTCATAAAAAATCTCAGGTGACAGAGACTGCACAATTTATCTTAGAAATAGAATAGAGAGATAGAAAACAATAGAAAATGGAAGCCAGGATTTGCTTTTAATTTTTTTTCCTTGTTTACCAAGATCTGGAGGGGACAATTAAAGTATGTATTGCACAAGCATTGAGCAAGACAGACTACATGCTAATAATTTAATTTGGGTAAGACATAACTAACAACAAATGAGAATGATAAGCAAAGACAAAACAGATTCAACAGCTACAAGTCCATATGATTATATCTATTATAGCTACATACAAAAATCTTCCAACTTTTGGGAGTTTATCATAAAAAATTTTAACTAGACAAGTATCTTGGATTCCTAAACATTGTAGAACTTTTGTGTTTCTTCTCACACTAGTATTCAGAAATATTTTTCAGTTTTCAACTGTAACAGAAAACTACAGCTAGAGCTTCAATTCAGACTGAAATTCAACTTTTTATTTAGCAATGAGATGTTCATGAAATTATCTAAACTTATTTACTCTGGCTATATCGAGAAAGTTTTCCACAAAAGTATACCTTTCAAAAGTTAAAAGAAATGCATATATTTGCCTATTCTGGGAGCAATTATACCTTGATATGATTAGTATTCTCTGTTTACCAGTTGCTAGCATCAGTTGCTAGTACAATGTGACAACTGTGTCATCCCATAGCTGTATCTTTGAGAGAAGTTGGAAGAAGATCCAACAGTCAATTACTCAGCTAATCAGCAGAAGTGGGCACTCTTTCTTGGTCTGGAATTTGGCGTTATAACTTTTTTCACTATTCACTCCTAATCTGATGACCACAAAGCTTATTTTACATCCAGCTTTTCCTCACTGCTAAATCCTGGCATGCTACCAATACTGAACTGTTTCTGTTGTCGCAAACCACTTAGTCACATCTTCAGGGTGTATGAGGTTCAATGACTTTAACAATTCTCATCACATTACTGCCATTTCCTTTCCTTCATGATGAACCATCCCTTGTCCTTCAACACTTTTGCCTGAGATGCCCAGATCAGTTTGCTCTCATCTTTTGATTTTGGCCAGTAAACATCTTTCTTTGATGTGTACGGAAGTTTACACATTCACCAATATTTCAGGATGACCACAAAAGTACATGCAATATTCTAAGTGTTTGTATAACATAACATTATTCAAGATTAAAGGGTTGAAATGCACATATACCATTCTCTTTTATTATGCCTTGTATTTATAGGGGTTTAAGTGAATTCTGAAAAAAAAAATCTAGTTACTGAAATGCTGCTGGAGGATAGCTCTTTACATGTTTTCAATATGATTATAATTTTCACACTGTTTAAAAGCTTCCATTACATTATGTGCAAAAGTGTCACTGTAGGTTTGTAAATAATAATGTTGACTCTCACACACAATTCCTGACAATCCAGAGAGTAATAAACAGAATATAAGGTCCAGGGGAACACCTGACTCATTTTAAGTAACCCAAATGTTAGTCTTTCCTTCTGAGTCTGTCCTACAGCTTCAGAGGTCCTGCTACTCCCTTATCTATAACACATGTGAGTACAACCTAATGAGCAGGGAACAAGGAATAAAATTAATTGCATCTTTCATCCTGAATTAAAAGAAGAAAGAAACCAAAACAAAAAAAATAAAAGTTTAAAATACCCAAACAACCCACAAACAACAACAAAAATAAAAAAACAACCAAAAACACCAAAACAAACAAACAAAAAAAACCCACCAAAACAAAAAAAGCCCCAAGCCAACAACAATGACAAAAAAAAAAAGGGAAAAAAAAAAACCAAAAACACAAACCAAGACATTACCACATAGACTGTGCCTGGATTTAAGATCTTCCTGTGTTTATCATTAACTTGCTCTATCCATTGGAGTCTCTATAACCACTCTGGGCAATCTGTGTCCAGTCACACTTGCAGTAAAAAAGTGCTTATTGTCAGAGCTTCATTATGCTCCTGTGCTTCATTTTGTGCCAATTGCCTCTGATCCTGTTACTGAGCCCTGTCTTCTTTACTCCCTCCCTTCAGATATCCATGCTGTTATCCTAAATATATTGTAAATACATTATAATGCCAGCCTAAACTGATCCGATGTTATCACATTTAGAAGACATCCATCATATTTAATAGTGGGAAATGTGGCCTATGCTTTGGAATTTTTCAACCAGATACTGATCTGGGCCAAGAACTACTGCTTTGTCAAAACTGAAATTTTTCCTGAGAATTCTGTCTCACTAAAGACGAAATAACTCAGATCAAAATACAAAGAACAAAAATAATATCAAAAAATGACAATAGTACTTCCAGATATTATGCAAGAAAAATATCTCCCAAACTGTCTTACTGTTCCATTGTGTATAAACAATTAAATATTCACTGGACTAGAAAAGGACAAAGTGCAATGATCCAGAAGACTAGTTCAGACTATGTGTTACTCCTACTAAGAACTACAGACTTGCCCATAATATGTTGAGGAAACACCTTCACTAAAAAGCTCTTGGATTTTTCATAATATGGCATAGGAACATGGCTTTACAATTCAAATATTACATGTCAAAAACCACAGAATCATAGAGTTGTTTGGGTTGGAAGGCGCCTTGAAGATCATCTTTAATGGGAGAGCCTATTGCTCTTAGCAGTTAATGGGAAGGTGTAAATCAGATGGAATCAGACCCTTTGAAGCATGCAGGGATAGGATGAGAGGCAAAAGACATGAAAGAATTCCAATTATTTATATGGAAAATAGGTTTTTAGAATGGAGTGCTCCAACAGTGAAACATCTCTCAGAAAGATTGTGGAATCTCTGTCTTTAACGATAGAGCTACTCAGCTGCACAAGATCATGGGCAATATAATTTGGCATTCATTTGATCAGGAGTCTGGGCTTGTTACCAAAGGTGTTACCTAGCTTTCTTCTAATACTAAACATGGTACATAAAAATATTCCTTTACAAAAACATAGGTAAAGCATTGCTAGAAGCACATGTAAAACATTTATGCTTTATAAAGTGTATTACAGCTTTACTTTAGCAGCATCTAAAGGCCTCAGCATGAGTGGTATCTGTCTCAAATACTTAAAGGTAATAGTCACAACTCTAGAGAGACTATGGAGTTTGGACTAGCTGACCTTCCCATGTCCATTCTATTCTAAATTGAATTACATTATCCACACAAGCCACCATATAGTAACAAGCATGCTTTGCAGAAAGCAATTACACAGGAATTGTTGAAAAATAATCTGTAAGTGAAGCTAAGTCTGTCCATCCGTCAAGGCAACCTAAATTAATGTGACTATATTAACACTAAGTTTTAATTAATTTTGAGTAATTTTTCATTCACTTCTGCCCCACTTTCAAAACACAGACAAACATATTTCTTCTGATTACCTGTTTACACTCCACAATTGAGGAAAGCAGCTATTCAGAAGCAAGTGCACAATTAGTACAGGAACCTTGCATGGAGTGGTACAGTACAGCACACAGGTATGAGGACACACAGATCTGAAGACCCTGATTCTCTACTGTTTGTATTAGTCAAAAGTATAACTAGTTTTTACAGTTTGAATACCAAAATCCTTCCTTCATAAAGGTCTAAAAGTTCTCCAGACTACTAAATACAGTAACATGGGGTTCTTTATATTTTGGAAATAAATCAGTGTCTTCTGCTTTACACTTACACTGTGCTGTTTACTTTATATAGACACTGAATTATATTAATTAAATACTAAGAGAAAGTGCAACGGTAAGCATCTATGCAGAAAATCTAAACATTCAGAGAAGAGAACATTAAAATACCTCAACGTCAAATGTTATAAATCCTAGTACATCAATAATCAAGAGCTTTGATGACACATTTGCTTCAACACTGGCCTTTTCAAAGCTTAATCATTAGACATGTACATTAGCTAGAAAATTAAAGTATTACTTACTGTGTTCTACCCTGCATCCTCATTATAAACTAGAACATTCTAAAAGAGTAACAGTATGAAGCACATAACCTACTTACTGCAGTTTGCCTGGCTGTTTCTCATCTCACAGGGAGAAGTTCCACAGGGATCAGGGCAGGAAGAGCACCTCTGGTCTCCCTCCTGACAGAGGGTTTGGTCTGAGGGAAGTAGAAATGTACTTTTCAAATTATTTACCAGACAATGACTGGAGCATAATGTGAAAGTACAGTGTTTACATAAAAATTAAGTCTTTTCTTTACATATTTCATTAAGTACCCAACAGCATTTCAAGTGAAGTAAAGAAGAAAAGTGTACAAAACACTGTTCAGTTCTCACTTTTCTTACCCCTCTGTTCAATAAAAAAAAAACTATATCCCAGTTTCTGAACAAGAGGCATGGATCTCTGAAAGACATTTACTATGCAGAATATGAAAAGTCATGCAAATTACATTTCAAAAAGAACAATAGGTCCTAGCTGAAAGAGAACACTGTCTGGGACTTATTCTTCAATGCCATTCAGTTGATCTGCTTTTCATTTTATGATTGTTTTGGTTGACAATAAAAGACATACCGAAGAAAGGTCAGAGGTAAAGTCTAGTTGTCCTCCTTTGACTTGTTAAAAAACAAACAACAACAGAAAGAAATCAAGAAATGCTATGGTCCTAAGGATGGACTTCAGAATAAATAAAACCAGCACTTCATCAGAAGTTTCTGAACTACTTGGGTAGTTACTTCATCTAACAAATCCCTGGATTTCTCCCTCTCACAGTTGTGATAACTCCTTTCCAAACCAATAAATTCTCTCTTACATGTGCAAAAGGAGTAATTTAGTTTGCTATTCTGTAAGGAGAGACTAAATAGATGGTGTTTATCATCTTAACCTGTTTAAAATAGCTTATTTTCCTGATTGCTTAGTGTTTGTATTGCACTACTGCCCATGAACATCAATCATCCATTCCTCCACTGAACATACAGAAGGTGCAGAAGAAAGATCTAGTTTCAATAACCTTGACAACAATATTGTCTAAAGGAACTGATGATATAGTCATATCTATCATAATTATGTGGATTTACTTCCATTCATACATGTTATATATTGAAGCAACAGAGGTAACTTCTTTGCTATAGCAATTGACAATCTTATTTTACAGCTGCATCTGATTACAAAATGGAACTTGAAAGGCAGAAAAACCCTTTTGGCTTCTAAAGCTATCCCAAATATTTACATTAAAATTAGTTTTAAAGTTTGCTCCAACTCCTTCCTAGACTTTAAAAACCCCTGTGCTACAAGGTAGATTATTTTTATCCTAGCACAAATAATGGTGAATTTCTACAAACACACTGTACCCTGTCTTTCTAAGAGATCACAGAAACAGTCGTGAGTACATCTGTATTAGATTTCTATTGTCACAAAATGAATGAGAGCAGTACTCATGGACAGATGCCATACCTTAAATTTCCCTAAGGCATGCAGGGAAGGAGACCACTTTTCTCATCGAGGTGGAGATGAAGCAACAGTCAGTTGTAATATCTGAATGTATATATTTGTACTAGGACATAAGATACCTGTATCCTTTTATAGGCAAGGGGAAGTCACTACACCCTAACCTCAAATTTCTGTGCTGATTTCTCCTATTTACTATGTTTGTAACAAAACTAATACTCCATTAACCCTAACTCCACTGACTCCAACATATCCAATATTTAAATTTTATTTGTAGGGCAGAAGTCTTTGTAATAAGTGAATGTCCCACTACATTTTTTTGCAGTTCCTGGAAACAACAAAATATGTAAGAAATACAAAAGTAAGCTACAAACACGAACTCTGCCTTGCTTTCACATGGACTTTGCAAGGAACTAAAGATGAATGAAATCTAAATTCTGCCGATATATTCCTATGCAAATTAAGATGGATGAGATATGATTGTCTAAAGAAAGAATTTGCTCTACACAATACTGCAAAATATTGGCTAGAACTTTGGCACATTGAAGACTTAATAATAAAAACTAGGGAAATGTTTCTGTTTAAAAGCTTTTCAGTTTAAAGCCAAGCAGAAGGATCTTTTCTCATGTAGTGAGATCACTGGATATACAATTATCACCCCATACTACTGCTCGACTATTTTAACCTATACCTATTCATCATAGCAAAAAAAAAAAAAAGGTTTTTAACCATTGCTTCAACATCAAAAAGGAAAAGAGAGGCAGTGAAAACAAAATACATCACTGATTTCTAGCCCACATCATGTAAGACAAATGGACGACAAAAGAATTCATAGGATAAGACTGAGACTGGACATCAAGAAAGAAGAATAAAAGGTGAACATTTTGTGAAAGTGTATACAGCCAGAACTGAGGAGAAAAACTTGTTTCTGGGTTTTAAGATTGCCACAGTCAGAACTAAAAGATATGTCATGCAAGACTTCTTTATAATGTCAACACTAAAAGTAAACAAAAATAATGATAATTTCTGTGTTTCAGCCTCTCAGGTATTTTTTTGAATGAAAGTATTTAAATTCAAGTAGGACGATCCCAAGAACTTCCTGTGAAAAAAAGGGACTGAGTAACATGCTTATGAAAGGATTTCTTTTAGACTGGATTCCTAAAGACACAAGGCTTATATAACTACACTGCATATCTATTTTATAATAACAAGTCTTTTCTAGTCTAATAACTATTAAATAGCGTGTCCTATTACCACTACACTTGCCAACACTAACTTTCTGCATAGGGCTATTTTAATTTCTTTAAAATAAGGTTCATTTTTAAAAGACACTAATAATTCTTGCATTGAAGAAAGGGTTCAATCTGAACCTGTACCTTACCAGGAATAAGATAATTACATGTGAAAAATACCTTCAGATTTTGAAATCATCGTAACATAACAACATTGCTTTCTGAGTGTCTGTGGAAAACCATGTTTTGGGGATCAAGATATTGCTTACTTTCCTCTTCTCTCATAGAGTCCATAATAAGACAGCTATCAAGTAGCTGTGAAAACGTATGTTCTCATATATTTTCCCTTAGTCACACTAAATCATTAGTTTACTTATGAAAACATTCTTTCTCTGATTCCCAAGTTCTGATAAGAAGAAGGATTTTAATAAGAAAATTCCTCCTCAAATGACACCAATCCATGTAACTGTAGATTCGCATTGCTCCAAACAATGTATTTCAAGTAAACACTGATTACATCAGATAACTAAATACTGTGCTAAATATCACCCCCACTTCTTCACCTTTTTAATAATTTTAAATATTACAAGAAGTCTGCTTACAAATGCCTATGTGAATGCACACACCAACCAGCCTCAGAAAGTGTTATTTGAAAAGTAAAGAAAATCATTTGTTAGACAGCTTTAGCTAAAGGCACTGTGGAACATAGCAGTCAATGGTAGGTTTAGTAAGAAGATTAAAATGAGGCATATCCTTACTTTCACTGCAGTTTTCTTCATCACTTCCATCTTTACAATCATTATCTCCATCACACTGGAATGCACTAGGAATGCACTGCCCATTTCTGCACTCCACCAGACCCTGACTGTGACATGCTAGAGAGAAAAAAAGTATTAAAAAGACAACATTCTGACCAATGAGTTCAGTGAAGCTCTGCATTATAGTTGAACATCGCACAGAAGTTATTTTAGGAGGAGCTGATAGCACTGCTTAGCACTGGAGATCAGGAGGCATTTCTCATTATGTCAGCTAATTTTTCAATAGCTACAGCTGTGCCGATCTTTACCTACAGAGACTGAAACTATAAATGTCAGGTATTAGCAACAGGCTGAGACGAAGTCTTAGCTTCCCCAAGGAAAAAAAATGCAAATATTTTTTACTCATATAGTGAGAATGTTACTATTAACAAAAAGCTAATTCCGTATTTAACAAGAAGCTCTAACACAAAGACCTTACTTCAGAGCAAAGGCAACAAATGTTTATTTGCTGCTGCTGTCTACTGAAAATGGACATTGGTCAAGTGCAAACTTCTGAAATAAAATAAGTTTATAGTTTTGACTTTCAAGTGAGTACACTAGTTATCTTTTTTTCTCTAGTTTTCAAAGAAAGAAAAAAATAAGTTCAAGATTAAGGGAACTTACAGCAATTGATCTCATCTGATTTGTCTATACAGTCATGGTCACCATCACATACCCAATCAGCTGTTATACATCTCCCCTCTCCACACTGGTGATGTGTCACTGGATTACAATCTACATAAAATGCAAATTTGAAAAAAAAAGGGATGCTAAGTTACCATTTGTATATTTTATATTACTGATCAACTGTTCTGTGCTTATTGGGTAGTCTTCTTATTAATGGCCATTTTGCATTAATAAATTATCTCAAGAATTTTTTTTTTTCTAGCTGCAGACTTTTTTGCAGATGGTAGTTTCATATATTCTTAACTGTATTGCCTTTATAGTGATGCACTCATTCCTTCTCTCAGGTGCACAGCTGTGACTGTAAATAAACAAGTTTCTAAGATTGGTTAAGCCCATTAGAAGATCTGGCTTACCATCTCAGGATGTTTTTCAGTTAACCAACATTTTCAGTAACCATCAGAGAAAATAATTTCCTTAATTTATCTTTTTACTAAGACATTAAAAAATGTTTCTCAACTTCAGAAACTATATTTTTTGCATGTACTTGTAATTTTCCATAAGAATTATCTACAAAGAAATTATTCCAATTGTCATCTTATTCTTTCTACTTGAATGCACTAAGAAGAGCATTCTGTTAAGCACACTGACTTTACATCAAAATAAATAGAGAGATTACACACAGTCCAGTCTGCCAAATCTGCCATGAAAACCAATTATAGCATGCACAAAAACTTAGATTTTTAAAATTGTATAGAAAAAAACCTATGTCAAGGTAGGAAAGATAGGAGACAGTTCAACATTTAGAAAAACTTAATATAAAACTTTAAAACAAGATTATTTATTAAAAAGAAACCACTAAATAACCAAAACTGACAAGAAAATATTGAAAAGTCTTAGAGTGGGCTTAATTTGAAGAAATAAAAATAATCTCAGAAAAAAATGTGATATGATTTTCTGGTTTTATATTCTTTGCGTTCTTCCTTAGAAAAGTAAAAGGAAAAGAGAGAGAAATATTATTTTAGCTGTTAAAAATTATCTTAGAAAACTTGATTTTCCTCAGGTGTAGTAACAGGACCAAAAGTTAGAAAAAATAAGGCTTTCTAAGTTTCCCAATATTTTCATGTTAAGATTATTCTTTTTTAATGGCAAAACTTCATTGTTTCTCCTATGGAAGTTAAGGATAGGTAGACACATACAGTAGGTAAGTAACTGTCATGAGAACATGCAAAGTTGATTGACAAGAGAATTTGAAAGAAACAGAATTTGATAATCAAAACATATGACTTCACTATCAATCTTATGTAAAAACAGCTCAGGTATAAAACAGTTGGCACCACCAGTGCCCTCATATAGTTTGCTTTACTCTCAGTTCAATCCAGTCAAGCTAGCAAGGAAACACCTTTTGAAATTAGTTTAAAGACAATAGCAAATAGCATTATTTCCTATAAAATTTGTAATTTCTTCAAGATTTGGATTGACCCATAAATCTCCTTTAGACCTTTTCCAATTGCATATAGAATCTGTGAGTTGTTTTCACTGTGTTCAAATACAATAAGAGCAGGGTGTATTACTCTTTCAGTAGTTTAAGGAAAAGGTTTACTGGCTTAGGCAGTCCTGATATCTTAAAGACTTTAGAAAACCACAAAACCTTTGTTTACCACAATTTTGCTCATCACTAAGGTCTCCACAGTCATCATATCCATCACAAACAAAGGTATAATTGAGGCATTTTCCCGTGTCACAACGAAATACATCATCACTGCAATCTACAAAACAAAGCATGTAAAATGTTAGAGTTGCATTGGAACATTCATATAAAGTATGAACCCTGGAATGTACTGACTACACACAAGATCAGCTAAAGATACCTTACAACTTACAGCTCTGAATTATTGTGTACCAGTTTATGAGAAACTAATCTGGAAGAATAGGAAAAATCAAAAGCCATTTTTAGAAATTTTTACTCTCTCCCCACAAAGTGTTCTTTTGATCAATATCATAAGGAAAGAATGGTCTGGTTGCACATAGGGACCTAAATGTCTAATTAATTTATACACATAATGTTCTCAAGAAATGTTGTAGGCCTCACCATTGCAGATTACTAGGAAAATCCTGATGTGGGTATTAAGTGGAGACGAAGATTCTAACAGAAAAATCAAGATTCATAGACCCTGCTTTTGAGCCTGCCTTTGGTCTTACAGTGGTTTCAAATGAGCTTTATACTTAACACAGTTTGGAGCTCAGATTTGGCCTGGTACCTTCTCATCAAGGAATTCTTACTGTCAGCCCTAAGTGGGTTTAACTTTTTTTCATTGGATTGGATGCATCAGTAAAGCCTGCCAGATATTCTCAGAGAATAACAATAATACTTGAATAATATCACGTTCAATAAAACCACAGAATCTTTGCTGTAGTTAGGTGAGTTGAAGATAAATTATGGTTTGTGGTATCTGGTCCCATCAGTAATAACTTTTGATTTTAAGCACACAGCTAGGAAGTGGGTAACCTAGTTTCACTGCCTTCTTCTAGACATTTCCTTGGCCTCTAGCTTTCCAGGGAGAATGCCAAGATACAGAACCAACTGGATGGACAATACTGTCTTCCTGTTGGAGATATGCCACTGGAACCAAGGAAGTCCTTTGTGCCCATTCAACTGGCATATGTGGGCATTTTAAATGAGTTATTCCCTGGAAAACAGAGAGAGAGCTCAAAAAGCAGGGACTGGAACAGAAGTGCCACCTTTCTTCTGAGATGATCAACCACAACAGAACAGAATCATACTACCACTTCCCTCTCTACTCTTGGCATGCGATTCCAGTGTTCATGATTGCACAGTGGCTCCCCTTTGAAAGCAGGGTGTCCTTCTAAGGATATTACACACTGAAAGGTGCAGAACTCTTCCAGAAAGTGCCATGGGGTTTCTACCCCTTCAGATCAATGTCAACCAAGTGTTTAACTTCCCAGGAGAAAAAAAAGTCTGAAACTTGAACATGAGTCACTTCCTCTCCCTACCCCACAGAAGTATTACTGCTTTCTTCAAGTTTCATATTATCTTAGAAAGTCCAAACAGAATTTATAGCATAATAAGATGGAAATGCTTCAGGATATGAAGTAAAATAATATGGCTGACCCATGAGCTACATACTAAATAGTTAATTCAGCTTCAAAAAGAACCATAATTCATAAAACAGGGAATACCACACCAAATGAAAATAAAATTTAAGTTCTTGCTTCCTGTAAGCAGACCAACACCCAGCTGAGAGTAAATGCTAAACATCACTTGTTTTAAATATGCAACAGCATGAAGTACTCTGGCAACCTTTAATCTTATTCATCAGTTTGTAACTCTGACAGTTTCTATGCTTCTTCCACTGCTTCTCCTGCAAATTAAACAAAACTGCCTTTTTCTATGTTATTTCCTCTGGATAAATTTACTGTTTAATTTCCATTCATACTCCCATTATTGTTTCCATCCATACCTCTGAAGCTGCTGCAGTGACTTTAGGGTAGACAACTCACAGGCCCACACAGACAGGGTAAACAAAAAGAATACAAACTTCCTTACAAGGAAATAAGATTCACTTAATGAAAATGTAACAGTCGTAATATACATTTTCTTCAAGATATTGGCAATAATGTATTGTAAAGGTAGTTGGTTACTCTGTTAAGTAAGATGGGCACTTGGCAACTGCCACTTGTAAGAAGCTCGACTTTAAAAGGTTCAATTTTATAAGCGATGTTGATATCCCCATTTTAACAAAATTAAATAAAAATTCCTATTCTGTACTCCACTAAACACAAATGAAGTCTGGCAAATCTTTTGCATTCAACAACTTGGCCCTGAGACAAGCCCAGTTGGTTAAAGCATGGTGCTAATAAAGCAAAGGTAGCAGGTTTGATCCCTGCATGATCTAGATCCAGAAGGACCTGCTGTACACAGGTCTGGGCAAACCTCCACAAAATCCTACTGTCTAAATTGGAGAGAGATGGATTTCATGGGTAGACCATTTGGTGAATAAGGAATTGGCTGAACGATGATGTCCCAAGGGTCAGCAGCTCAGAATCCCAAAGGACATCAGGGACTAGTAGGATGAGGAGTAATAGTTTTAGAAGAGGGTATTTCTAGACATAAAGAATAAATGTTTTACATTGAGCAGGTGAAACACTGGAACAGGTTACCCAGAGAAATGGTGGACAACCCATTCCTGGAAATATTCAAGGTCAGGTTGCATGGGACTCTGAGCAACCCATTCTATCATGTAATGAGGTGACTTAAGACTTTGAGAGGCTCAAGGACTGCAAGGAACACAGCATTTTTTATCAGCCAAGCTTTAAGGCAAATAGGTCTTCCTTCAGTTTTGCTCTTTCTGCTATGTAATTCAGGAAAGTGTTATTTGACCTCCACACCCTCTCCTCAACTCCTATGAAGCATCCTAATGAAAGATGTTCTCTGCATATAAGCCCTGTATCATTAAACAGACAAGGTAATCTTATTTCAAAGGTAATCTTAGCTGATTAAGTTTATGCTTGTTTTTTCAAGACAATGTATTTATGTAATATATTTGTTCTTTTACTACTATTTTCTTATTTTCTTTTCTATTTTTTCCTTTTTTATTTCTAATAGAATTTGAGAGCTATAGTCTCAGTAGGTGTGTTTAAATTTTTGAGCTTACTTTAAATCTAAACCTCACAGGAAAAAATGGAAAATAAAAACTTCCAATACTTTTTACATAATAGACATTATCTCAACCTCCATGAAATTAATTGTAGGCTATTAAAGGAAAAGCAAGCTCTATCCTTATTCATATTGAGACCAGGAGGAAATTGCTGTCCTCATTTATTCCTTGGAGTATCCCAGATAAAATCTAACAACAACTTCCTTAAAAGCAGCTTTGTGAGTCTTGGAATGCCCAGGCTCTTAAATCACTAATAAGAACTAATCTTTTGAGTTGAGTTTGAACTGCACAGTCTGACATTTTTCAAAGTCTGAATGAGAAATCCTGTTATGTGGCATCATTGTCCTGCTATAGTCCCTATTTAGTAATTTTTCCACATCTTCCTCTTTTCTTTTTCTTCTTGCTTTCTCATTGTTTTCTTACGATACATTTGCTCCAGTTTTCTAAAGGTGTTTGTAGTCCAAGGTGTTTTGTTAACACAGAAAAACACATAGGAACTTATCTAAAGACATGTACTACCACAGACAAATAAATAAAAAATTAAGTGATCACATGTGTACATTCTACTGCAGCACATACTGGGATTAATTTAAATAAATCACATCTAGGATTGAGACCAACAGAACTTTCTAAACAGATGGTCTTGTATCTGGTCTAAAATCAATACGAAGGACCAGGATAAAGCTACAACAAACAGTATTCAGGTGATAAACAAATTAGCTCCTTTCTGATGCACACTAATGATCCATTAAAAAAAAAAAAAAATTGCCAAACAAAAAAAAAATAGTTCTTATTTCCACATAGCTCCTTGCAGAGTAACTGCCTCAAGACATAAAATTTGATCAAAAGCACATGCTGTGGCCTGAGTGAGCAAACTAAACACAGTCCACAACAACTGACAGAGTCCAAATGTCAATATACAAACACCATGCAAAGCTCTTGTTCTGTGCCAATACCCTGCTTCAGCTTCCAGATTTCCCTGAATGGATTCAGTACTTCAGCAGAATACTGCGAGGTTTAAGAAACTTACTACAATGGACCTCATCACTCCAATCATCACAGTCATTGTAGCCATTACACTGCAGTTTCCTTGGGATGCAGATCCCACTGGCACACAAGAAACTCTCCTCTCCTCCACACAGTGCTGCAAGAGAGCAGAAAAGACAGAACGTGGAGAAAAAGCATTGGAAAAATCAACACTATCAAGTTAGTGATACTAGAGTCTTACAAATGTTAAACTGATATTCAATATTTCCTACAGGGATTGAAATATATTTCCAATTTAGAAAACGTTAGGATAGCTCTCAGAGGAACATCACTGAATTCAAGAAGGTCAAGAGGAAAACCTAAAAGAGGAAAAAAATCTCAGTTTTTGAGTTAGAACAACGCCATTTAAAACTTCTATCAGTGAATGACCCATTTTAAAAGACCTCAGCAGGCAGTCATGAAAGGACTATTTCACCTATTAAATCCGCCCCTGGGATGAAGGAAGGAGCCTTATGTGCTCATGTGGAATATGCCTACAAAAAATATAATAATTTCTGCTTAAGACTGGCTTTACTGAACAGCCCTTTGGTATTCCTCACAGTTTGCCAAACCAATAGGTATACAGTGGATGCTGTGAGGTACCGCTTAGCACTGGGCATGGTTTTTCAGTATTTTTCAAAATTGACAAATAGCTTCAGCTTGCACTGGCTGCACATTCAACTATTTATCTACATTATTAACTTTATTTGTGGTCCTAGAATAGCAGTCTTTTCTATCACACTATGGCAATGTCTATAAACACAAACACAACCACTCTGGGTACCCTCATTATTAGTTTTAAATTTTGTCAGCAGGAGATTATTTTTTTTTTCAACACACTAACATTCTTTTCTAAGCCTCCCTATTATTTTCTTATCCCCAAGAAACAGGGCAAACTTAGACTTAGTTAACTGAAACACACACTCCTTATGGAAAATTTGTTTGTAATAAAAGATTATGAATAATTTCAAAATATTTTCTATGACATTTCCAGGTGTACTGTCCACTTGGACAGCAAATAATTTTCATTTTGCAATATAAACATTATTTTCTAGTTGTGTAATGAGAACACGGTTGTTGCAGTGAAAGCTGCTTATGCAATGTATTTTAAAGGAGGTAAACTCCTAACTCTAACAGTACTGAACGGTGCCCAAAATACTAATTAGGTGCCCTAATACTAATTTAAACCAGAGATTTTCAACTGGTTTGTGCCATTTAATATTTGTGACTCTTCATCAGTGACAAGGTATTAAAACAACCAAAATGTACTGCTCTTCAAGTGATACACTGACAAGCTGTAACATTCCAGAACACAATACTAGGGATGCTAAAACACACAGAGGCCCATGAAGAAAGGGACACATTAATAAAATAAAAACCTATGGCAGGTCACAAATTACATTAAAATATTTGAATCTCAAACAGATGGAAAATGCAGGAGTATTTGGAAAAGTACTGCTATACAGTCTTGGCCTATTGTCCTTTTCTGGGAATTTGATTTTGTCAGCTTTTGGAATCAGAATTATAAAACAGGCAAACTTTTTCTCTTACCCAATATAGTCATAATAGCACAACAGACCGTTGTATTCTCTCACTTTCAGATTTTCATCACCTGCTCCCTATACCATGTATGTACCCTGCAGAATAGTGTATACATCTCATTGCTGTCAATTCTAGAAAGTTTTGATACTGTGACCACAATCATGGAATTAGAAAAGCTGGCAACTCCTTACCCCCAGGTAATTGTTAATTTCTCTATTTCCTTAGGATGCAAAATCCTGTGGGAGAAAAAAGACAAAAGACCTTTTTCTTTCACTCAAGTGATGTGGCCTAAAAAGGCCACATAAGAAACTCCAAGCTGGAAAAGAAAAAGGCAAAAACCAGAAACAGAGGCAGAATAGGAGAATATAAACCAGAGAACACAACAAAATGTAATGCAGGATGAACAGAATTTAAGAGTGATTTTGTGGGGGAAATAATTTAATCAACCGTGCATATTTCTTCACATGAAACACCACAACAATCCTGAAAAACATTTTGTTTTCCTCAAAAAATTATTCCATAATTGCTTGTTTTGCAGCCGTTCAGCATCATTGTTACAGAAATCATCTCTCTCAGAGCCCACAGATAGACTGTACAAGCCTCAGTCTCTTCATCTCACAGAATGCCTATCAACAGCAGAGTCTCCAATGCCAGCAAGAGAACTCCAGCAATGGGGTCAGTGAGAAAAAAGTCAGGCTTACTGCTCTCAGGTGTGATCTCACCTCTAGATTTGGGAGAACACACCAGCACCTCTGAGGAGATGGAAATGCCTTGTTTTTAGAAACTGGCTGGAAAGCTGCCCAGTGGAAAATGATCAGGGAATGCTGGTCGACAGCTGGCTGAACATGAGCCAGCTGTGCCCAGGTGGCCAAGAAGGCCAACGGCACCCTGGCCTGTGTCAGCAATGGTGTGGCCAGCAGGACCAGGGCAGCGATAGTCTCCTGCTGTACTTGGCACTGGTGATGCCACAGCTGGAATCCTGTGTTTAGTTTGGACCCCCCATTACAAGAAAGACACTGAGGCGCTGGAGCATGTCTAGAGCAAGGCAATAGAGCTAGGTAAGGGTCTGCAGAGCACAAGCCTTATGAGAAGTGGTGAGGGATCTGGGGTTATTTAGCCCAGGGAAAAAATGCTCAGGGGAGACCTGATCACTCCCTACAACTGCCACAAAGGAGGTTGTATAAAGGTGGCAATGAGTGTCTTACCCCAAGTAACAAGCAATATGACAGGGGGGGAAAGCCTCCAGGAGAACCAGGAGAGGTTTAGGTTGGATATTAGGAAAAATTTCTTCATGGGAAGGCTGGTCAGTCATTGGAACTGGCTTCCCAGGTAAGTCATGTAATCATCATCCCTGAAGGTATCTAAAAGATGCATAGACATGACACTCAGGGACATGGTTTAGTGGTCGATTTGTCAGTGCTGAGTTAACAGCTGGACTGGATGACCTTCAATATCTTTTTTGAGATAAAAAATGATTCTATGACTTTATGTGTGGGCATATAAAGACCATGCTTTTTGAGAAGTTTACCTCTTGATAAGTTTTGGGCTCATTTTTACAGCAAGGAAAAAGGAGATACACTTGAAATTTGGCCCGTGTATCAAGTTTCTACTCCAAATAACAAACCTGTACTTTTTCAAGCTAGCAAACAAAAAGTCAACAGGTCATATTAATTTCCTCCAACCTTCTTTCCTTGAAACAGCTTGGAATTTTTGATATAAAATAAAAAGTTCTTAAATCAACACCAGTCTGAAAAAAATCAGCCTAAACAATTAAACCACTAAAACCAATAATCAACTGACAACCAGACTTTATTACAGTTGTAAGATGGAGCATAGAACAAGAAATAATACTTTCACCCCAGAGCTTTTCCTACACAGGGAGAAAATAAATTATTAAATGAAAACTCATAAACACAGCATAACAGTTAAGAGTGGAAACATACACTGCTTTCCTTTTTCTTGATGTGGTGAGAAGCATACCCTTGTAGTGGTGTCATTTTCAGTTTTGTTCTGGAATTGAGAGCACTTCAAGAAGTCTGGCCAAGAAGCATTCACCATACCCAGGACTGGTTCACAGCCTTCTTTTGCTGCCTCACAAAACGTCCTGCAGGGCAAGAGGCCTCGACTAAAGAAACGAGACAGAGAGCAAAATTTAAAATTATTATTACTTTAGCAGGTTGTGAAAACTTTTTAGAAAGAGCAAAAAGTAATAATAAGTGCTTTTGACAAATTTTGCGCTCTACACCCATACCCTTACAGTGATTAAATTTTCAACCCAGCTTTCCTGAAGTTTATGTCTACTGCAGAACCTCTTAGGCTTTAGCAAGTGAAATTTTGCTTTATTTATAACCACTCAAAATGCCACAGAACGATCTTTTTCCTGGTACAGCACATATATCTTTCTCTTTACATCTGACTCTCAGTTGTACCTGCCTGTCTCAAAACCATGGCTAGAACTCCATTCAGTCACAAGTAAGTGGCCTGAACTGAAGAAGTCTACAGTACCCAAAAATGTACTAACTTCATGTTTCATTTTACAGTAACAGAGAATAACGCAGTACTTTTAGCAACTTGTGACATGGCAGCAACCATAAGAAAGGAATAAAAAAGCTGTCTTAGCTGCCTCACTACAATGTTAATGAAGAAATTGATGTAAAGCAAAATATTCACTTGCATAAGTACTTTGAAGTCCGTATGGCTGACTTTCTCTGCTAAGTATCCAAAAAGATAAGTGTGTTGCCAGTGTTGTTACTGAATTTATTACATACTCTGGTTGGAACCACATTTTTTAAAAAGGTGTTTTTAGAGATCTCCAGGTAATGCTAAGAACTTTTAAAGAATGCCTTTCACATGCTGCAGTATTGAACTTATCTCAGAAACAAGTCAAGGAATTTATCCCTAAAACTGTCTCTTGCGGCTTCCTGGATGGCAGATTATTGTTGCCTGTAAAGAAGCATATATATTCTAAAACAGCCCTTTTTACCACCAGATTTTTTTATTGTGATCCATTGAAAGATACAAAATTTTTGCACCAAAGATCACCTATATGGCTGTGTACAAAATCAAGAATGGTTTCATCTGATGACAGAAGAGTTCCCACTTATTAGTTTTGCACATGGTACTGGTAAACTAAGTTACTCTGATTTAAAGGCTATTCATATGAAGATGTTCTGAAACACTTCTGGTTTTTTACAGAAACTATTCAATATGGAAAGAAAGGGCACAAGAACTCTTGAGTTGCTCTAGAGCCTCAGAAACTGAGAAACCCTTTAAATAAAGGGGATTTGACAGGGCAAGTGACTGTCTCCAGACATTTTTAAGTTTTTCCTCCTTAGCTAATGGCACTTCTGGTTTGACAGAGGCTCTCTCATACAGCAAAATGCCAAAAGAAATGCTGCTACTTACTACAGAAGGCACTTGATTTTCAAAATATCTGTAAGAAATAAGATGTCACAAAGCTAAAATGAAGTATTGATTTGACCTGTTGGTGAGTGATAACCCTGTATTTTTTTTCAACCTGATATGCTTAATTTCACTTTCTGTTCATTTTTTACAAGACCACAAAATATGCTACAAAAACTGTATTACAGTGAAAAGTATTGTAAGCAGTGGTTCTACCTCATTTACTAGTGCAATGGAGCACAAGTAGCAATCTGAAGACAGTACATTCTGCTAAATTTATTCTTTTTTCTCAAAAAATAGAGTTAGTAGGGACATTACTTGAATTTAACAGGCCTCTGACAGAGATCTATTTGAGTTTATTACAGTTAACCATCTGTATATATATGATTTCTATGAATGGGAATGAATGCTGTTTGAAAAAAAACTCCCAAACAAACAAACAAACAAAACATAAAGAGTTCTTGAGAATTCTCAGAGGAAGTTTCATACAACTCTGGAGTATTTAATATGATCTCTGTTTTCCTGACCCACACCTAAATGATTAACATTTAAAGCACCACACCTCAGCTATAGCCTGACATTTAGCAACTAGGCAATAGTAGTATGTGTATGTCAATATCTTAAAATATAACTATAGCAAACTTCCACCTATATGGTTCCTTGTTTCCAAAGGTCTTTCAACATACTGAACATTCTTTTTAATCAAGAATTTTAAAATAATATTCAAAAGTTATATTAAAATATAACTATGCAGAGTTATACTTACATATAATTGTTAAAAAGCTTCTAAAAATGTCAGGAGTAATTTTTTTCAGAAGATCTATCTGCACATTTAATTTTTACATCTGTATGAGGAAAAACCTATGAATACAAAACGTTCATCTCATTTATTTATACGGTATTGGATTTGCATGGCAAGGTTCTTGTAGTGGGAGGGATACAGGGGTGGCTCCTGTGAGAAGCTGCCAGAAGCTTCTCCTGTGTCTGGCAGAACCAACTCCAGTCAGATGCAGGACAGACCCACCACTCGCCAAGGCTGAGCCCATCAGTGATGCTGTTGTACTTCTGCAGTATTCAAGGAGGCAGGGAAAAATTGGTGCAAAGGCAACTGCAGCCAGGAGAAAGGAGTGAGAATATGGGAGAGAAGCGCCTCTGTAGATACCAAGGTCAGTGCAGCAGGAGGGGTAGGAGGTGCAGCCCCTGGAGGATCCCACTTTGGTATAGGTGGATGCTCAAAGGAACCTGTGACCCTGGGGACCTCACACTGGAGCAGGTTTGCTGGCAGAAATTGTGACCCTGTGGTGAACCCATGCTGGAATAGCCTGTGCCTGAAGGACTGCACACTGTGGGAGGGACCCACACTGTAGCAGCTCATGAAGAACAGCCCATGGGAAGGACTCACACTGGAGAAGTTCATGGATGACTGTGTCCCACAGGAGAGCCCCATGGCAGAGCAGAGAAAGAGTGTGAGGAGTGCCTCTCCTGAGAAGGAAGGAGTGACAGTGACAATGTGTGATGACATCACACCTGCCATCCCCCTGCACCTCTGAGGGGACATGAGGTAGAGGATTCATGACCAAAGTTAAACGCAGGAAGAAGAGAGGGGTGTGAGGAAGTAGTTTTAGGTTTTGTGGTTTCCTTTCTCATTGACCTGCTCTGATTTGGTTGGCAGTGAATTAAATTACTTTCCCCATGTTGTGTCTGTTTGCCTATGACAGTAGCTGGTGTGTGAGCTCTCCCTGTCCCTATCTCAATCCTGAGACTTGTTCTATTTTGTCTAACCGGTCCAGCTGAGGAGGGGAGTAACAGAGCAGCTTTGGAGAGCACCTGCTGACCAGACAGGGTCAACCTACCACAGACATGCACAGAACAGTAATAATTTGGAAATTACCTGTTTTCTAAAAGACAACTACATGGTTATCTAATAACCAAGCAGAATTTGTAGCCTCTAGAGAAGCTCTGACAAATCAGAAAACATGGGATTATCCAGCAATTACTGCAATTTTGGCCCAGTTTCAATGTTGAGTCATGTGTGCTCCATAAATTAAGTATTTCTGGATAATGATCAAGTTTTGTATGGATTTATTGCTTAATTTGCTGGAGGATGAAAATATGATTAATAATATTTATCTTGATTACTCTTATTTACAGCTACTCAGAGACCAATCCTTTAAAAAATAAATTGGCAGGTCTATGGCAATCTTACCATAATTGATTTGGCACCAGTGGCAGGAACAGAAGCAGGTTGTAACATATTAGCATGAGATTCTGCTCTTCACGATATTACTAGAAAAACTCCTGAAATTGGAGTTTGATGAAAGAAAGAAAATATGACATATTTTTATCTCTGTGGTTGGTTTCCCCAGACTCAAACTCCACACTTCAGTAAATTCAGCTGCACAGAAATACCAACATTAAAAAATGTAGGGAATAAAAAAAATAGAAATCTTCTTTATTGTTTATTAAAAAGCATATTCAAGGTAGAGTTAACATTTAAGGGCTTTAAATTTGCGTAAGGCATCTTTGAAGAAGCTATCAGAAGTTCTGTATTAAATACTCATTGAAGCACATATATTCAATACAGTATATACTCTGTTAAGTGATTTTAAGTTTCCTAAGAGGTTAAACACTGCCTAAAGCAGAAGATCTGATTTCCTTGTTCACTTACATGGGAACTCAGATTGCCTGATTATAATCCTACAGGGACCTACTCCCTAGAACTCAGAGATATTTTACATTTTTAGACTAATTTTTTCAGAATTGACTCCTCTTCTTTGCAATCACATTACCATGCACACAAGTCCTCAGCAGACTGTTTCTTAAGTGGTTGTTTTGAGTACTAGAAGTTATCAAAGAAATAGTACTGCAAGAAGCAGTAAGGAGAGGGAAGACCCTCATGGTGACTGTTTTCCACTTACTGCACAATTTACCACATTTTCTAAGGTTAGCTCAAGATTCAAGTTAGCTAAAGGTCTGACTCCCAACCTCAGCAGACACTGCGGGCATGCCTTTTCTGGAAGAAGCAGCACTGTATGCATCTTGGTTTCCAAATGCCTGGATCTGGTTCCATGCTACTTGCAGTTTTACTGCTTGTAAGAGCTGTTTTTAGGCTGTAAATAAGAGGTCAAATAACTCATTCAACTGAAGAGTAATGTGACCAAAAAAAAGCACCTTTTTCTCAGATCTGGCTGTTGATTGGGTCCTCCAAAAGGATACAGGCAAAGAAGGAATAAAATGTCACAAGAGGGAGAAGTAGAAATTGCTAAAACTGACAAAAGCATTAAATTAAATAAAATTAACAATTAACCATCCGGCAGAAACTCCCCATGCAACCTGGTAAATACAGTAATATATCTAGTGCTCATTATTATCTGTGGTATTTCTTTATGTCTTCGCAAACAGTATCTCCACTGGTAAAAGTACTGCTATATGCATGCCCTGTTGAGAAATTTATTATTGCAGTTTTACAGGTTAAAACAATAGAGGATAAAATATTTGCAAAAAGCTTACAACCAAATTGTTATGCCAGAGCTGAAGATGCAGCACGAAGATCACTGAGAAACACAACTGTTGGCTGCATTGCTAAAGGTCACATCTGTGGTTCAATAGACAACCTGACTGCAGGCAGACTGACAAATATTTTCAACTACTGCTGGTTCTTATTACTGTTCTTTCCCCAGCTTCATCCCTTCAGTTGTTTCAGGATAACTTTTTCTGTGGCCA